TGAGTAAGTTATATTTAACCGGAGACAACTGCACCAAAAAATTATAAACATGACCGGAAGATCCGTTTCCTTGCTGTCAAGGTAAGCCACATAAATAAATATTTCTAAGTCATAAAAACTTACGGTTGATGAAAACAGTCCGCTTCGCCAGTGTCCTAGCATTGTCCATTGCATGGCATTGAAACTCAGCAAGATCATCGCGGAAGTCATAGAGATCCGAGGATATACGAATGGCACGATCGCTAACTTCACTGATGAGCAAAGTCTCCAGTTTGCCTGGATCCACACGATAGAGTTCGGCCGGAATTGGAACATCACCGGGTATCTCTGGGCGTCGATAATACCACCAAAGGCGTGGAATTGGAGTAGCATCCTCCGTCCAACGCGGACTAATACCCTCTTCAAACTCAACCACACAGTCCAGCTAAAAAAAGCAAATGTCTTGAGAAGTCTTTTGGAATGGAAGTCTACATCATTTATAGGCAGGATTCTACATCACTTAAGAAGTCTCATCAAGGCTCTTTATTGAAAATAATAGTTGTTTTATGCCAGGATGAAGCTGTAAAAACCAGCATTTAATTTTTTTATTTAATTAATGATAATTATAAGACGAATACGTCTAATACCAAGCAACAGACCAGCTCACCTCAAGGGGAAGATGCGGTCGAGCCATCACAATGTCGCCCTCTTTGGTTGGATAGATAATGCTGGTATTCGATTTTATCTTCAAAGTGAAGCCATACTCTAAAAACCCGGAAGTAAGCCCATCAACTCATCCAAATTCTTCAAAAGCGAAGCAAGGCAGCCTGCAAAGATCTCTGTTGTGGGAAATAAAAAGCAGTAGATCGTACCTCGTTCGTCGGGGATACCACTGGGGCCATCAATTGTGCCGGTTTCTTCTTCAGCTCGTAACTTTAAATTAAACCAAGGAGACTCGTAGTACTGAGGACCTTTGCCACTCTTGCGTTCTACACCCACACGACAGCGACCACGTACTCCGTCAGCCATCGCGGAAGACTGGATGACGGAGAGTTGAAGACTACCGTCTGCATTCTTTGCGACGCCCTTCGCAATCAATGAAGGCGCCACTAGGTAACCCTTGCGATCAGTAAACACCCACGAGTATCCGATTACTTTTGGATCAGCTCCCGAGGCATCTAAACGGAGTGGCCGGAATTATAGTTGCTCCCATGAGATCTCTATGTCTGTTCTACACTAGTGATGTGGAGATTTACGCACCACCAATGACCGCAATGTAACCAATAAGCTTCCCCAATTACGGTATCAAAGCACTCGTAATGGCTCATAGTGGCATCAACTTGAAATTCCGCGGTCGATTATGCGCAGCAAATGTTAATGGACGCTAAGCCTGAAGTATTACTAAGATGGCGTGACTTGTGCTACTAGTCTCTAGTCCTTTCAATCCCAAATGATTGAGCACCCCCAGGTTAGTAAATCTAACAGCATTTTCAGATGGGACTTTAAGATTATAGACGCATGACGATCTGTTACTGAATAAATTAAACAATTGGCATCACAAGGAAGTAAGGGTAATGGCGCAAAAAATACCTTTGACGACAGCGTTCAACTTCACACTTTCACCGGGACCCAAAACAAGGCTGCCGTTTTCATCCAATCCTTCAACAATGACAGTAACCATCTTTCCAGTCACTGAAACCAACAAATTCAAGCGATAATTGTGGAGAATTACTACTAAAAAGAAATATATGGCTCCTGTCGACTTCAGTAGCTATGATTACCCATGTTTATTTTCTCTTAGGAAAAATATGGATACATATGCTGAAAGAGAAAAACATAGCTCCACCTAATGATTACATATTTGCCCCATTTAAACTCCAGAACATTTAGAAATATGCGAGACTCACGGTCCATAGCAGAATCATCGGGCCATGTATCAGCCTCAGAGAGAATAGGTATTGGATCCGACTTGTAGCGCTTACGCAGGATGATCGCCCCTTCCCCTTCTCCTTCCTTGGTCTCAACCAGAGCGGTCATTCTTACCAGTGTCTGGCGTCCGCCTGGATGCAAATTGGTTATGGTAAGTTTGCCCGATTTCGCTTCCATTGTAACTGAGTCTGCTAAATCAGCGCTGTGAGTTGGGAGAGCATTGGGATTGACCAAGTCCCAGCCATAGCCCAATAACGCAGGGCTTGTTTCCTCTGTTAGGACGTTTCCTGCAGTTGCGTCTAGACAGAAAAACGCGACCAAGGATAATGACCGGCGCCAGGTAATGTTGGTAAAATTTTTTTTTTGCATAAAGCTCACCAATAGCAGAAACAGTGATTTCGCCTTTGCCTTCAGTGGGAACAACGAATTGATTCTTGTCGTTTAGTCCAGTGATTTTGAGCACGACATCGTTGTCGCCAGCTGAAATTAAGGGGAATTAGTAAATAAACTAATTTCAAACCTGAAGAACCAATCCAAGAGGGTTAAATTAGACAAAAATGAACCCTAAGTTTACAAGAGGTGCACAGAATCTTTTATTCTTATCTACGGTGGTTCCCTGAGGCTACACGAGCAATAGCTTTTGCACATATCGGAACAGTTTAACTTCTGTGAAAAACGGATTCAGAGGTTAACTTTTAGCGTGATGGAGTAGCTGTTTCGTCAAAGAAAACGTTGATGTAACTCAGACTCAATGTTGCGATGGGCTGTGTAAGTGTATAATTACAGTGAAAGAAAGTGGTCATTAGATTTCTAAGAAAAATTAATAAGTAAACCTCTCAAATGTTAGAAGTAGATTAAGCATTTCCATACTTGACTGCACCAGAGTACAAATAAAGGATAGCAGATGGAGACTACCTTCATCAAAAGGAATTGCTTTAAATGATTTTTCTCCCTCTACAGGAACGAATTCACCATCAGGAGAAAGGAAAAAATAAGGTGATGTGTAGTGCCACTTTCGACCCTCTTCAGGTCTGTTGTAAGTCACGACAGCGCGTCCACGAACGGACTGTGGAAGTTGCACATCGTAAGCATTGTACGAGCCATCAGAGTTCAGCTCCTCGCCACCAGTGGCGAACTCTCCCAAAGTTATTGGTCGCATTCCACTCACATCTGTCCACTCCCAACCGATACTCAAGTCCTTTGACGATACTGCTTGGCCGGTTTTCGAGTCTTGCAAAAGAAGTTAAAAGAGATCCAAAGCCAGGGCATGTAATAGTCTTTCCTTTTAGTCATTATGTTTAGCTACCTGTCACAGTTGCTACCATTTCCACGTCTTCACCTGGACGAACGAGGAAGTCTTCATCTCCACCAACATTGGTTACACTAACCGCAAGTTCTGTAAAAAACATAAATAGAATATCGTTTCCCTGACAAGAAGAAAAATTATTTTCAACCATACCGGGTCTATCAAGAGTCGAAGGTTCGCCATCACTTTTACCGTTCTGGTGGATAATGAACGTGTCAGATCGGTAGCGCTGTAATCCCGACAAACCGGTTGCTCGTTTTACACCTGCAACGCACCAACCATAGATAGGCTCCAAAACGCCCTTTTCATCGACTGTGTATGAGACATTGGTCAAAGTCAACGTGTCTCCCTCAGTTTGAACTGATGCTAAACATCCTGGAGATAACTCATGACCTTCAGCATTCACCAATCTCCATCCATACAACACCGACTTTTCAGGAAGCGGAATCTTAGATTTGGAATCTGAAATAATGCGGAAAATCGGATAGTACGTTAAAGCTTACAAAATGGAAAGTCTGCATTACCAATAAACTCACTTATCGCAGAACAAGTTAGTGTCGCATTGTCGCCACTGTACACAACTTTTCCTCCATTGGCGTCCAGTTGTGAAACAAGTACGGCGACAGCATTGTCACCCTCTAAAAGAATGTCGAAAAAGTACTTCAAAAAATTCGGCGCGGGCCTATTTCTTGTCTGGTTGTTGTTGTGGGCGCATACCATAGTATCCGGGGATGTCATCAACAGTAACAACACTTTCAGTAACCCTCTTGCCGCCGATTGAAACGGGGAAGTAGGAGGAGTAATAGCGCTGACCATTTAGCCTTACAGTGCAGCGACCACGAAGAGACCTTCCAGCGGTAGAGAGAAGGCTCTCCAAATACAGGCGGCTAACTGCACTAGAGTCTGGCGCATCTACACCCTGAGAGGTCTGAGTTATAGTCACTTGGCCAGACACCAGTTCTTTGAAGCTCACCTGTGTGTTAAACAATGGCATTGGCAAAACATGAAATGATAATAAATTCAAGTAACATTCCACTAGCTATGGTATTTGGAAGAGATAATTGCATCATGTTAGGATGGAACACGGCATAACCTACCCTTTCTCCAGTCTTCTCATCGCGGAGTTCCCATCCAAAACGTAGCGACATCTTGTCATCCGAACTGCCTACCTTCAGTTGCTGTTGGGTTTTCGTGTCTAAAAAAATTGTTGGAAATTAACTCATTAAATCATTTTAAATGAAGAGAAAAGGATGAGCCGCACGACAAATGATTGTAGAGGATAAAAATCTGATGAACAATAAGTCGCCAATAAGATGTGTTGATGAGAACTGTCAAAAGCGACGGGTTCTTTTTCGTAAAAGGTATCAGTTCAGTATGTTAAAAAGAGCGCCACTCTAACCGAAATTGGTGAACGTCAACTCACCGTGTGCCACACAAGTCAGTGTTGCATCTGCACCAATATTACGTTCGAATTCTCCATCACGATTTAAGTCGTGAATTATCACAACGACTGCATCTTTGGGTTCTGTAATAAAGAAGAGGTCAGTAAACGCCCCAAAATGAATAACTTCTTGAATACAGAAAAAAACGTACCGGGTCCAGGAAGCCATGTATCAGGAAGCCCCTTATCCTTGTCTTCCTCAGGTGTTTCTGACTCTTCCAGATCGACCGAAGGCTTTGGTAGAATATGAATGGCAAAGACATCGGATTTTACCACCGGTACATCAAGAGTGTCACCACCTTCACCAGAGACAATGCACTGGCCGCGCAGACCGCCCGAATACTTGGCAGTTTTACGGAGACCAGTCAACACCACCTTGGACCCATCGAATTCAACACTATCAGCAAGACGGGAGAGCTCGAATGGTTGGTTATCTGGACCTGTGGCAAAATTCCAACCCACTGAGATACCCTCAACAACGGGGGCGCCTATCCATTTGTCTGGTGGAAAAAAAGCGAATAATCTGTGGGACATTATCAAGGAAACCAATAATCTTTGCTGCCATTATACAAAACCCACCCGTCACGATGCAATCCAGGGTTTTGTTGCTTCCATCGACATCAGTGAGAGTTCCCGAAGGTGAGATTCCATGCACTTCAACCTTCAAGTTTGATATATCTGTAACGTAGAATCAAGGTTATTAGTTATTCAACCGTTACAGTTGTTATGCCCCTCAAAATGCATAAAGGCAAAAAGTTGCTTTTAATCAAAGCTTAGCTAGAATGCAAAAAAAATTTATTACTAAGAAGGCAAAAAGTTACCACCTTTCAGTTCTATAGGCAAAGATTCGCCCCCTCTCCGGGTAACTTGGAACTTGATAACTGGTGAGGCATAGAAAGGAAGCGTCTTTTGCATTTCGCCTTCCTGTGGAACGCCCTTGGACGGTAAGGTGGCGAGACAACGCACCCTAGCAAATTTGCTTGATTCCTTCAATCTAGAAAGCTGCAGTACTCCACCCAAAGCGCGAACTTGTTCTGCTAGTCTGTTGGTGGTCAAGGGTTGGTTGTCTATAGTTCGAAGGTCCCAAGTAAACCGTGCACTTTCGATAGGTAGGCCGGAGGCCATATCTAAGAAGGGAGATAATGTGAGGCTCCTAATGGACTTGATGATCAGAGTGAGAAAGGAACAGTCAGCTTACCGATTGCTGAACATCTGAGGGTCCTGTCGTCATTGAAATTTGCTATTACAGTGTCGTATGTGTCGAGACCAAGTACGCGAATGGAAATGTTGGGATCTAAACGAAAACATTGGTCTACTCAAAAGGAGGCCTCTTCAAGTGTCGTCAAGAATCGAATACTACTTCCAAGGAAATCGAGACAATCAGATTCACTGAACCTGCTGCAACCAGATAAACTTTTCGGATTTTTTCTTCTACACGCCTTTTACCCTTATGAACTCGTTGCAGTAATCTCACCTGTAATGATGTATTCATCTGGAGTCGTAGAATCAAAAGCTTCACCTGATGTAAAAAAAGTTGAATAGTAAGTTTTGCTGACAAGCGCGCCTTCTTCGGGTTGTTGAGTCACAGTAACACCGCAACGTGCTCTTGTCCATTTGGCAGAAGTGCCAAGACCATGGAGCCGGAGCAAAGCGGCTTGCGGATTAGATGGGTCTATAGATTGCGCTGCCTTTGAAGCCACATCTCCCACCACGTTGTCCAGCAGCTCTAGCCTACCGTTGAACTCAAATTCCCACATATAGTTAGCTTGTTTGGGAGAAATTGGCTCGTCCGTCTTCGTGTCTATGGTAAAAAGTAAGAAGACCTAATTTTTTTACATTTCCACTACTTTTTCCTGTAAAAATCACAAATCAAAAATGATATTTGAAAATTAAGTAATCTCTGCTACAAATAGATGCACAGATAATCCAAAAATTCTTTTATGGCAATTTTCATACAAACTTCGAGAACAAATAAAAGCCCGAAGTTTGACAGCATTAGTGTAAGCGAAAAGCACGAGTAAAGTGGTAATACCTGTTATCCGCTCACCAGTAAAAGCGGATATTAGCACACCCAGCCATTTGCATTAAAATGGAGGAGATTAACTCACATTTAGCAGAGCAGTAGAATTTGCCATCGCCACCCTTGGAACCCGTGAAGGCATTGTCAGCTATGTCTCCAGACACTTCAACAACCACTTCTTCATCTTCTAAAGGAGTAGAAAAAGAAGGCCAAAAGTGATACTAAAATTTTGGCAAGTAATGAAGCTAAATGACAATTGGTAGACCCAGGATGAGCAGCAAAAGAACTGCATTCAAGGCTTGGGGAATTGGTGGAACAAAGTAAAAATCGTCCCGTCCCAAAGCCCCTTCCTCTAATGAGAGGCTGTGATTAACTCCAATAAGTGATGAGGTATTGTTTGACAATGAAGGTACCACTACTGATAGGTGATAAAATTGGAGGAATGAAGAAGCATTCACGATTCTCCCTTAATTTCTATTCCACCTGAGAAATAAAGCATATATGAATTGTGGCACTACTAATAAACTCAACACGACGCACCCTTTTCCTCGTCAACGTCTCGTCGTTTGACCATCATCTCAAAAGGCACGGAGAAGTAGAATCGCTTCCTTCTATCACTGAATATGACGCACATACCCCGAGTAATGATGTTCTTCGCGGTTGGTCTGAGGTGAGCCAGGATGACTTGTCGACCAGTTCTTGCCACGGACATTGCAAGTCTTTCTGCAGGCACTTCACGGCCTAATGAGTCGATGAACTTCCAAGATTGCGCCCCAGGCACATCGTCCACACCGGCTTCAATGTCTATGGTAGAATAAAATGTAATGTTGAATAAACAGCAATTGTGGATCAAAGCCCCTGTTAATTATAACGGAAGAATAAGTGAGGCCCATAATAGCAAAATTGAGACAATACCATGAATAGAACCTCACCTCTAGCCTTGCATGCAAGTGTCACAGTGTCACCAGGCTCTGCCTTAAGATTGCCGTGTTCATCAAGGCCGTCCACATCGACAATGACAAATTCTCCCTGTACTGAAGTTAAAAAAGATTTAACACAACCAAATAATGAGCATTACTTCAAGACCAAATTTATCACTACTTCAAATTCTCAAACAACGAAATCAGTCAAAGAGTTCACCCCTGTTTCTATTTTGATGGAATCAGAGGTATGCCTCTCGGCAGGGCAGACGTGACTAACCATATGGACAATCTACAAGAGCTTACAATCTTCAGGTATCTTTGGTAAAACTGAGTCATCCGTATCGCGAACAACCACTTGGAAGTATTTGGACGGAAAACGGAGCTGTTCCTCCTTCCCATCTTTGCTAACCATTTTGACATGTGCAAGACAACGACCACCAACAGAATAGTAGTCCTGTCGAACCTTGTAGGTTCGTAAACCATTCATCTGGAGAATTCCATCACCTTTGTACTGAACCTCCTTTGCAAGAATGTTAGGAGAGATTGGCTGAGCATGGTTGTCAATGAATTCCCAGGAGTAGCCGAGCACCTCAGCATTCTCAACTTGAGCTGTAAGAATGCGCAGAGAATTTCAATCTTTCTAATTTTTTAGTAAGAAAACAATAGGGCTAGTGAAAAAATACCCTCAACGTGGCATTTCAAGAAAGCATCCTGTCCGACCATTTCGTCAAGATTTCCATGTGTGTTTAATTCCGTCACCCATACCTTCATGCGATTGTCTTCAGCTAGAAAGGGAAAAATCAATCTCAATGTACTTAGTAGTTTGGATTTTCTTCTTTCGGGATAAATGATCGTGATGAGTTAGGATGAAAACCTGGTATTTCGACAACCTTTGGGGAAAACTTGGAATAAAGTCAAAGTTGAACTTACGAGAAGCATCCTTTATAAGAGGTGAGAGCTTTTCCATGTCTTCCACGTCGAAGGTTGGTGGGACGGCGAAGTTAAAGAAAAATGAGTAGAAGTGTTCCTTGGTGGCGCGATCCATGATGATACAGCGACCCTTTATGTTTCCATAGCTTGGTCTGATCTCCTTTATAAGTATGTCGTTCCATCCAAAACTAACTTCACCCGATGCAATTTGTCCAACATCAACCATTCTTCCATCAATACTGCGCAGTTCCCACAAATAGTCCACGTTCTCAGCTTCAGTGCCAGTTTTAGCGTCTAAAGTTAATTTCGGAACATAATAGCATCAAGAATACACAGAGAAAGGTTTTTAATACTAGTAGATTGACATCTGGATCATAAATAACAGCCCTACCTATAGCCTGGCAGATCAGTCGAATCGTCGCTCCTGGAACAGCCGATGCACGCCCTTTAGCATCAAGGCCAACAATCCTAGCCCAGTATTTTGGAACTGTTATTTTCTCTACAAATTTTGACAGAATAATTGCCTTTTTGGAATTATGATGTCAAATCCATTTACTGGAAAACAGATTACGGAAGTCGATCCTACACGACTGAATACATATGTACTTCTAAAGACACAGGGCTGGGTAATACACGACGAAAGAAAGATCGCAATTTCTACTAACCCGAATCTTCAGCGCCCACTTTTTCATCTAATAGTCTGATACTATAGTAAGGTGATGTGTAACTGACTCCATCTTTTGCAACTCGACATCTCAACCGCGTCATCCTATCTTTCCTAACGTCCTTATTAGCTGTTCCTTTAAGAGTGAGTTTTCCGTTGAGGCCCTCTTTGAAGGTCTCGACACGCTCTGGATCCATTATGTCAGGAACGTCAGTAAGGCCATCTCCGAGGCTTGTATAGTACTCCCAGTCATAGGCAAGGTCGGTCACTGGCTCCCGAGTCTTTGAATCTGTGTTTTAGAAAAAGGCAGTAAGAGGCCCAACCAATGTAAAGAATATAAATAGTTGAGATGACAAAATTAAAACCCATAAGTTGAGTGATTTAAGTACTTTTTAATACCCAACCTCGTCGGTCAGATGTAATTGATGAAATCATATCTACTTTTGAAAACTCATAGTGAATTAAGGGAGTAGAGACCTCGAATGGATGATAAACTCACCAAATGCAAGGCAATGAAGCGTTTTTTCATCTGGAGTTAGCTCCACAATACCGAGAGCTTTGTTGGCCCCGTCAATGTCGACCACGAGCATACCATCGCCTGAAGAAAAGAAGAATCCCCTTTAACTGGCTTCATTTATGTCATGACACCTCGAGGTAGCATGCAAATAAGATAGTGTGCCCGCAGAGCACTAAACCTTGGAGATTAATCAACGAAATCTAAAATAACCTGCCTTCAATTTGTTCTGCAAGAGATTTTGGAGTAAAGTCAAGTTTAAAGAACGGAGAGAAGTACATCTGCCCGTTGTAAAAGACCTCACAACGGCCCATTGACCCGGCCAACTCAGGATCCAGCAACCGCACGTGTTTCAGCACCAATCGAGGTCCATCGAAGACAGCTTCCTTAGCCAAGTGACCGTTAGAGAGTTTTAAACCATTCGGTCTCAAGAGACTCCAGTCGTATATCCCTTGGTCACTTGTTACTTCTTGGTCCGTCTTTTTATCTTATGGAATTAAAAAAGGGGAAGTCACGACGAATTTGCATGATGAATTATCGAGGATATAATGCTTTGATTACCTACGGCGACGCACAACACCTCAACGTCTTCTCCAGGCATGCTTTTCAAATCTCCGCTTGGATGCAGCCCTTTCACATAGACGTCAACACGGTTCCCTTGTACTAAAACGAAGCAGATTCTTAGAGCAACGCTCGAGCTCTTCTGTTCTATGCATGACAACGCCTAACTCACAGTCGAGTTCAGGCTGGTCTGGTTCAGGTGCTGTGACAGTTCCATCGTCCCTGACTATCAAAAGGCCAACATAGTCAGAAGCGTAGTAGCGAGGCTGTAAAATTTCTTTATCTCCTGTTGGCAAACGACGAGCAAGTGTAGCATAACATCGAATTCGCATTGGAAAACGCCCTGTTGCGGGCGCCGACAATCCAGAAAGCCGCAGACTTCCGTGCGGCTCAATATTTACAGCGTTTGCGAAGAAACTGCTGTCTACAGGATTGCTAGCGGCATCTCTAAACTCCCATCCATACATTATGGCATAGAGAGCTGCTGAGATCGGTTTTCCACTGGTGACATCTGCAAAATGGTAAGTAGTTACGTGTGACCTCCAACTGTCTCCGTGAGATGCTTAGATGCCTAAAACTCACTCTTAACAATACAGTTAAGTTTGGCATTGCTGCCTTGGCTAGCCCTCAGTTCTCCGCCTACAGTACCCTCGATCTCAACAGAAATTCCATCTAAAACCAAAAATGTTAAGTCTGATATCCTATCCCACAACTACTGCAAAATACCAAGCTACCAGTTACCGATCGTGTATCCAGGAATGGACGGCTGAACGAACACCGGCACGCGATCGACAATAACCATGAAGTACTGTGAAGTAAATTTGCGTTCTCTATCTCCATCAATAGCTTCCGATTCGATATCCTTGGCCAAAATGTGAAGGACGCAGCGACCCTTGATGGCCCGACCACCAAGACCCTCAGGAGCCCGAATGCCACGTAATTCCATGCTGTTCCCATCAGTTTTGATACCCACAGCCACGTTGCTTGTCATAGCTGCGTCGTTGTCCAAGTAGCGCCACTCCCAACCGAAACGAACGCCTTCAGCGAGGATTTCATTTGTATCCTTTCTGAATGCTTTGCAAATCAGCTGTGCGTCGTCACCAATTTGCTTGACAGAGATTTGCCCATGTTCGTTCAACCCCTCCACTATCACCTCCACAGGCGTGTCACCTTCAGGAAACTTGTCAATTGGCACTGCTGTAGATAAGTTTAAACCCAACAGTCATCCGAAGGGACATCAGTATAGCAAAACTACATAATAGAATGAATTGCCCTTGCAAAGTGCATTTGAAAAGAAACTTAACGAAGGATGGCAGAGAACATCTAGCGAAGAAATTGGGCAAAGATGAACTTAACATTGGGCATTTTATAGAATAATTTGGTGTATACATTAGAACAAAAAATTTAGGTAAGGCCTAATTTAGAAAGGCTTGCCTTCTTTGTCATCATCCGTTACATGGAAGTAGAAGAAAGGAGTGCTGATTGTGGTCTTATCTTCAAGGTTGATTAGACACCTCCCACCAGCTTTCGGTTCTTTGCGTAAACCAATGAATTCGATAATATTTTCGCCTCGAACAACAACCTGATTGGCGATGCGCATCGGACTTATTTTGTTCTGGTCCAGATCACAGAATTCCCAGCTGATTGTTGCATCGGAAAGAACCTCATTTGTCTTCGCATCTACAAGCGAAGTAATGAAACAAACATGTTAACTCACAGAATGAGAAATGCGCGCTGGTAGGCTGACAAAACGCTCACCATATGCAGTACAACTCAGAGTTGCGTTATCGTCGGGTCTAGCCACCACACTTCGATCTGGATTGATGCCAGTCAACTGGAAGCGGATCTTGCGCCACATATTAGAGATCGTTCCGGTAAAGTTATTCTCTCCTTCCGCTTCTGGGCTTGTTGTCACGTTCTTCCACGGCGCAGGCGTAATAGTAGTAGTTGCTGTTATTGTTCCGACTTTTTGGAAGAAAAAAAAGAATATTTGCCTATCGCTGATAAGAAGACCTGTAAACATTAATAGAATACCCATCGCAATTTCACAACAGGTTTCGTTACCTTGAAAATGAGTTGACATTAAATCAAACAGTTAAACTTGTGACAGTTAAAAAGGAGAAGTAACGTCGTACCTTCATCACATTTTCCACCGATTTGGAACAAAAAGCTGAAGTACCGAGTATCGTCACCCGCTTTTCGGGAGACAACGCATCTTCCAAACATTAGACTTATGGGATCTTTGGCGTCTGTCAGATGCAACGCAGATCCCTCAACCACAGCAGAGCTTGATATCACACCCGCAAGAGGAACAGGGGCGCCTTTGGCAGTTAAAAACTCCCAACCGTAGACAAATTGATCTTCTTTTTGCGTTTTGTCTTTAAAGTGTAACTTTAATATTTTAATACATTTACTCACTAAAGCATAGTGGAAAAGGATGAGGTAGAAAAGCTAACCAGTTGCCTTGCAGTAAACTGACACAGGAGAGCCCTCTTGAAGCACGAGATTGCCACAAGGAGTCAGTCCCTCGATTGTTAATGAAACGGGATCAAGTTCTTCAGCGATTGGTCTGTTATCTACAAATATAAGAATTATTGATCGTCATGCCAAAGCATTCTTAGTTAATTAGCGAGGTTGTTTTTAATTTTTGCTTCCCACCTTCAACTGAAATACCTTCTTCAGTAAGAGTAATTAGAGGAATGTAGTTGGAGGCGTAGCGTTCAATCTTCGATTTAGGAGGTTCACCCGATTCGGCGGTCCTTTCAGCGATAACACGCACGCGCAAACTGCCTCGCTGGGGAACCAAACGATCTCCCTTAAACTCACCCACTATCAGTTCACCAACTTTTGAATCCACCGTAATAGCGTCGCCAAGAAGACCTAGCGGGGCTGGAGTTCCATCGGAGTAGCTTGTTTCGATACCAAACTTCACTTTATCCGTCTCTTCTTCAGCGGTTTCGGTGTCTGAAATATTCGCATTTCAAGCTAGCCGTAATCATAGGTTACTCTTATGCAAATTTTTGTCCAGTCAATTCTATTTAGTAAACTTGAGTTTAAACTTTAATTTTATACTACTTAGTAAAGCATTAAATCCAAACGTTATTATGTGTACAGTCCCACTTATACTTCTGGGTTAAAATAAGGAGTCACAAGCAGTACTTACTGATAAGTTTCCCCTTAATTACGACTTCTTCGCCCTGCTTCGCAGACAAAGCACCATCACTGTCGAGACCCTCAACTTGAACTTTGAACCTTGGCGGATGTGAATCATCGATAGCTGAGTGGAAAAGTGATAGAGGATCAAGAACTGAAGTGGAAGGTATCCTAAAACTGGGGATTTTCACTTCAAATGGTCAATGAAGCGAATTGTACGCAGTTTTAATATGATTTTTATAATAAATCTCATACAACTGGGAAAATTGACAATACTGAAAGATTCCTTGATGAAGACTTTCCTTCCCTGTTGATGGTAAACCAACATCCTATGGTGTATAGCGATAAAAATTGACGTACCAAGAGATCTCGTGTCATTAAACACGATGCCACTTCTGGGGCCAGGCTTGATGGAGAAATCGACAAAAGCTCCTGGATCCGTTTCGCCAGGTGAGAGCACACCATTGTCTTTTCTGTCCTCAATGTCCACAAAGGTGTCATTGATGAGGACACAACGGACGAGAAGACCAGCAGCAAATTGCTTAAGACCAGTGAGTCTGATTTCACCGGTTGGCAAAAGTTCGACTTTATCAGCTAGAGCACTAGTATCTACTGGGCGGTTGTCCTTTGTGCGAATCTCCCAGACATACGTCAAGTCGTTCACCTTCTTCCCCGAGAACTTGTCTACAAGGAACAGTAAAATCGGCTGAGCCTTTGATCTCATTAATCTATGCAGTTAGGAGTCAGATTATGCCATGGCGATCCGAATTTTTGCAGTGCCAGGTAGGATTGCTTAAATTTCCCGTTAGGTTCACTGAAGTTCCAAACATGCTGCATGTACTACAGAATACTACAGACGGATCCTCGGTGACTTTAATGGGGAACCACAGCCGCCTGTACTGATTGGCGGCTATTTCTGCTACTTAAAAACAAAGCTGGGAACAGTACAAAAATTGTTTTAAAGTTTACCTTGGGCTTCGCAGACAAGGGTCACAGAACTATTTTCGTCTCGATTTACTCGATTTTTATCTGCACCCTTCACAATCACATCTGGTTTATCGTCTACAACGCAAAAAATTACTCTTATGAAACTTAACTAAACAACCAACCAAAATAGTGCGATTAATTTAAAGATACCATAAAAACTTTACCCTTTACATCCACAGTATCCAAGATTTCAATCTTCCCTTTGACTTGGCTTATGACAATGAAGGGGTCCGAGGGTGGAACGAAGGGGTGGTCTGGATCTCCACCATCCTCCGACGAGATCAAGCGACATCTTCCCATAATGAATTTACCATCATTTGGACCCAAGAATTTCGACAAGTTGAGACCAGGGATTGGTCTACTAAGCTGAATAGTGTCGCCATCGATTTCCACCTTGGAGAAGATGTGACTTGGGAGAATGACTTCACCAAAGGAGGTTACGAATTCAAACATGAAACTCCCAGCTTGAATCGGTCTGCCATTGTCGGAATCTAGCGGAGTTGACAGTTTAAATCGTAAAATCTTGTTTACAATGCGATTAAAGGCTCAGAGTAAATCAAAGCAATTTATGTAATAATGGAACTTTGCAAAACTTACCAATTGACTTGCACCTAAACTTGCGTTCATGGGAAGAAAGCGTTTGGACCTCGTCAACTTGTAAAACGGTCTTGGCCCCTACGAAGATCAAGACATCAGGATCACAAGCTTCACATCACGTTCCAAGGTCATGTAATCCAAATAAACTACTTATTCACAATTGTTATAGTAAAGGTTCTTATAATAAAGATTCACTTGGAGCTTAAATCCGATACATCCAAAAGCCTTCATCATGGACAAGCCTAATAATCTCGAGGAATTTCTACTAAACCTATAAGGAGAATTAAATATGAACGTACTACGTCTGCATTCGCCGCCTATACGGAAGTAGTAGCTACCGTAGAGAGCGCCGTTTCCAGCCTTGCGAGCAATCAGACAACGACCAAATAACATATCCTTTTGAGGCAGCATGCTTATTAGACGCAGTTTCGATCCTTCTTGTTCCACGGATTTAGCCACAGTGCCAGCCATTGATACTTTGTATCCGCCTGGTTTGATGACTTCCCAGGCGTACACCAAATTGCTGTCATCCTCCGCCAGACCTAGCCGCATAATAGTCATTCAAGCACCCAACATTTCAGAACTTTGGGCAGCACAGCTAAAGGGCAAAGATGGCTTAGCTTTTTGAACATTTGCCTATGTATGCAACTTTAGGTAGTTTCTCAAAGTGAGAAAGTGCAACGGCCACCAAAGCATCCAACACGCCTCATCTAAGACATATTTGTCTTACCTCTGGCTTTGCATCTCAAGGTAACGGTATCGCTGGTACCGTATTCTAGGTTACCACATTCGCTCAGGCCTAGAACAAGGGGTTTGAGATCAGGAAGACGGAGTGCAGGTTTCCGATAATCTACAAAAAAAAGTGGTGGAAGTTTGCACGAAATCTTAAAGTTTCAAAGACTTAAAATTGAGCACTGACCTGGAACTGGTTCACCAGTTTTATCTAGTGTTTTTACTGGAATAGGATGGGAGGCGAACTTCTCAATCTTACCGTCACCTGAAGGGGACGGTCGCTCCACCGTGAATACTAAGAAAAGATCATCCGCCTTGTCACTAAGCGCGTCGCCCTGATAGTCCTCTATTTTCATCTTTCCTGCCTCTGAGTCCATCTCCACAATTCTAGCAAGGGCACCTAGAGAAGCTGGAGACTTGTCAGCGTGATTCATTTTAACGCCATATTTGGCATTGGGATCCTTGGGAAGCTCTTCACCAGTATCAGGATCTGGGAAGTGTAAATCACTATGAGATACGATGAACTATGCCATAGGCATCATGCATATAAATAACCAAAATTACCAATGAGTTTAACATCCAAAACCCTGTCTGCTCCACGCGAGATGGCTAGGTTTCCGTCTTCGTCTAGCCCATCGATCAGGAATTTAAAGTCCTTTGGAGTTGCTAAAACAAAGTAGTCCAATAGCAAGAAAGTCCTCCTGAGTAAAACGAGAAGACCACACAATGTAGCTTACGCAATTCAGGTTTAGGGATAACCTTATCTCTCTGCGTATCAGGAATCGTTGACTTTACATCGAACTCAATGCATGGACTATCAACTTCTATAGCTGGATCGAGAGGACCCTCCTTTTGGTCGGGTTCCGTATCCAAACCTCTTTTAGCATTGGCAGCCACGCACTTAGCACGCAGACTGGAGGCAGTTTTGTAGATGCCTTGCAGACGAAGAGTAGCCCCTGCCGGAAGGGGCAGTGATCTAACCGATTTAGCGAGTGCCGAAGTGTCAACCACAGTTCCGTCCTTATGCTCAATCACCCATTGGACAGCCAATCCCTCAAGTGGACGCCTTGTTTCAGGATCTAAGTTGAAATTTGGACATGTAAGTCACATCATAATTCTTTGAATCATCCACATTAAAGTCTGGAATGCTTACCCTCCGCTACACAGCTGATCACTTTGTTGTCGCCCGCATTGGCAACTACTCTTCCATCCTCGACCCCTGTCATTTCAAACTTCACCTTTTCTTCTACACGAAAAATTCGTGATGATTAGATTAAAATTTGGTGATTTCACTTATTAATAAAACTTACTTTCGAGTTCATTAACCTCGCCAATCTCCAGACCACCAGAGGTTTCCCGCTCAATGAAGAATTTGGGACCCGAAGAATAGATGTCCCTTTCAAAGCCATCTTGACTTCTGGGAACGTCTGCTATGCATTCACCGTAGACTTTGTAGGAGCCTGCCAGGGCTTCAAGATCAACATCAACTCGTAAACGGTTCAAGGTCACCTTATTGCCCTCTGTTGTGACCTTTCCAAAGAGCAGAGGTGGTGGAATTACCTCTCCAGTGTCAACAGATCGGAATCGCCAAAGGAAGGTAGCATTTTCTAAACGGGCTCCAGTAGCGGAGTCTGCAAATACATGAATATTTCAAATTTGCTCGGACCCATGGCATAAGTAGGATATTACTTGCCTTAAACCAGTTAAGATTAGAATGGTTCATAAATATTTTCCTGATGGTCTGAATTGATTTACACTACCAACTACGCCGGCTGCTTGAAATGAGACATCGATTTAGACCACTACTTTAGAGCTTTGGTTAGGGTTACCAGACCCACAGAATACTAAATTCTGTTTTTAAACGATCAGAAGAAATAGCTGAATTAAAAATAACACTAACTCACCATAAGCAAAGCATTCAAAGGACTTTTCTTTTGGATCGTGTCGTGGAATATTCTGGACGTCAACTTTCACCAACTTCTCCGGGCCTACAATGAAATACGTCCATAAGCGATCGCCGAAGCTAAGCACCATTTGTAGAAAAGGATGGTCACTGACTTGGCTTGCAAGTAGCACCGATCTCGAAGTAATCACTGTAGTACTTTGCACTGCCCCTATTGGGTCGGGCCACAACACAGCGACCGAAAGTGCGCACTTTGGGAACAAACAAGCCTATCAGTTCCAATGTTTTGCCTGACTGTTTTGTGAGGTCAGCGAAAGAGCCAGAAAGAGGTAATATGTGGGCGTTCTCATCTCGTATCTCCCATCCGTACAGTAGTTTGTTCAGGTCCTCGGTTGGGCCTAGGGACAACAAATTGGTCGATAGGACAGAGTAATGCACACAATTTCCAATAGCAATTATCATGTTCGCAATCCTGTCCTTTTATTGCCACAATTTACCTACGCTGTGATTGTAATCATAAATGTTACTTAAGCAAATGGGCAAAGGTAACTAATGACGCCATCTAAAATTACAACCCATGCCATTTTGTAGATATTTGAACAAAAATCTGTAAATCGAGATAAAAAATGATAAACTCGAAAACATTTTACCAAATATGAAAAACTGAATGAAAGTTTGGAAATCTTACTTGAAACATCACAAACCAGCGTCTTTTTAGCACCAACTTCGATGGGCAGGTTACGGCAGTTGCTCAACCCAACAACTATTGGCCTTAGTTCAGGCCACACCTTCACAGTCGATCTATCATCTGAAACAACAAAGGCAGGACAAAGTTACCAAATGTAATGTTGGATGAGGTTTGTTCTATATGACAAGCAGGAGTGACCATGCATTGCCAATCTCCCTCATGTGGAATGTGTCTTTGATTCTTTAATAATAGTGGTTACTCCACTGTTCCTCGAAAGGTTTTGGCAATGGTTGGTGGAACCACAGCGTAGCTAAATCCTATGGCATTTCTATAAACTCCTTGTCACTCCCATGCAGTGTTGTAGTTTAAGTGACTTGAAACATTTTTAGTCCTTTAAACCATATGCGTATACTCCTAGCTCTTTTGACTGCTACGTCTGGAAATGCAATGGCAATTGATTCTTCATGAGAAAGCAAAGGATATTAATGGATTCAAGTAAGGTTATTCTTTGGTATTTCAGCTAGTATATGTTTTCTACTAGATTTTATGACATACTTATTTCTTCTACATGCAAAAAAACCTGATGAAGAAAGTAAAACAAACCTTTGATGGGTTCCCCCCCATCTTGAGTTAAAACAGGATAGAAGTATGGGGACGCGAATCGTTGGCGTTTTTTTAGCCCACTTCGTTCAGCCACAACCCGCAGGCGAATATCCTTGGAAACAATCTTGCGCTGGTCTCCCTGATACCCAATCAATTCGATCTCACCCAATTTGCTGTCAACTTCAACAGAATTTGCTATGTAGTTCAACGGAGCAGGACTTCCATCGGCTTTGGTAACTTCGAGGCCGAAACAAAAGCCACCGCCTTCAGGGATACCTGCTTTCTCATTCGTGAATTCGTCTATGTTTGGAGAAAGTTAATGCCATAACCAATCAAAACCTGATAAGTTTAGTGACATTTCGAGGATTATCCTCAGCGAAACTTACCAATTAGCTCAGCTTTCAGTTTGAGAGTGGCATTTTCGGGTCCAGCTAGGTTTCCATCACGGTCAAGGCCATTGACTTCAACTCGAAATGATTTTCTTGGATCACTATCGGATACTGAAGAAAAGTAAATGCCATTGCATTCATTATGAGGTCAATCGCAATTTCGATTACGAAACCACATACTTGGAACGACGTCGTCTAGCTTCCCGCCAAAAAGTTCAGGTTTCTCAGGATCACTTTCAACGACGACGTCAATTAAATCTCCAGTCACCTGATCTTCAGGGTTCTCAAATTTGTCGCGTGAATCTCTAAGAATGCACCGCAAACGAAGTCCATTGGCAGTTGGACGTATCTTGATAAGTCGCAGCTCATAGCCTAATCCATCAGTTGCTGGCGTCAATTCAACCTTTTCAGCCAGTGAACTGGTGTCCATCGGTCGACCGTCCTTCGTCTGTACCTCCCATAAGTGGTCAACGTTGCCTAGGTTAGCTCCCGTCTGATCGTCTAGACAAAAAAAATTTGTATAATAACATCAGTAACCATATCATGCTACTACAAGCTGCGATTAATGTAAATTGCCTTCTCCATTCCATTACCCATTTTCGCAGGTTGCTCAATGCGTTAATTTTCAGATAAGTTAACAGAAAACCAAAATTTTTCCTTACCAACCCCAAAACACTTGAGCGTTACACTAGCATCCGACTTCGCGATCACTGTATTCTCTATAGTACCTTCCACAACAGCCCGAGGTTTGTCATCTACAACCAGACGAATAGCCTAAATGACCTTATTCACTTGAGGCCTTCACTGTTCCAGATAAATAACAAATCCCACCCTCAATTATTTCTTTTGTCGAATAGGTTGGCTGCTCATCCTCACCATCCTTGGACACTTGGACCATAGAATTCGAGTAAATCTTCTTAGACACGCCTTTATCATCAGCAGGAGGTACATGAGCCACACATCGACCCTCGATGAGACTGACACTCTTGTCAACGAAGTAGGTCGAAAAATCAAAATCACTTCGAAGTTGTCCAAGCTCAATAGAGTCTCCGGACATTTCAACGCTTTCGAAGAGGTGACCAGGCAAGATGGTTTCGCCAGAGGGGCTTGCGAACTCCCAACTGTAAGTTGCACCGGGTATGACAGAGCCATCGGATCTTTCTTCAAACATTAAAGGTTACAAGTTACGATGAATCGGAAGAAGAGAGTTCTTTCAGAACAGGTGAAAGGTTTACCTGCAACTGTGCAGTGGAATCGTCGTTGACCTGAATATTTGCTTGGAGTTTCTTCTACAATTGCGACCGCGTCCTCAACTAAGAAAAAGAAATATTAGAACTCACAGCCTTTCGACCTTTCTTATATTTAGGTTCGAGTTTTAAACGATATTTGTCTATAGAATCAAGAAAATTTTGTTTCTTGACCCAAAAATTGTTCTTCACCAAAGAAGTACAAAGAACCACCATTGTAACCGACATTAAGTAAAAAATTAGTTCAAAACTACCAAATTTTCCTCGACAGATCAGCACCATACCTGGACTGCAGGACGGTCCTACGAGAAAGTATCGGCTAAAGTAATTTTCCGAAATGCCCGTCTTCCTGCCAATCACGCACCTCCCGAGCAGGCTCTTGCCCTCTACCAAGGCCTTCATCCCATTGAGTCTAAGTTGGTTTCCCGAGGACTTGACGGACTCAGCGATTGTAGCCATGGAAACCTGACGACCTTGGATATCTCTCAACTCCCACGCGAAAAGCAAACCACTTTCGCCTTCAATACCTGTAAGCGGTAAGAATAGTCAAGAAATACTGATATTATTTCGTTAAGTAAATGGACTTCAACATTTGCTGGAAAACTTATTCAGGTTTATAACAGATGCACAATGGGAACACGAAGGTTGCCTACCTCTAGCTTTGCAGGATAAGGTAGTATCCTTTCCCCTTTCAAGGACAAGAGTGCGACATTTGCTGAGACCATGAATGATGGGAATCAAAGGTGGCAATCTCACGGCTCTTTCACGGTTGTCTAGGAAGGAAAAATTTCTTAGTCTAGTTGGACAGCCAAGTAAATTAAACTTTAGGATAGCACTACACTAGCACGATATTGTAATAAACTTGAAAGCACCGCAGCAAAGGAGCCTCCTACCAGAGTCTCTATCAGAGAGAGTAACAGGAATAAGCGGAGAAGCGTAGCGCTCCTTGCTAGGATCGCCCAACTGTCCCGGCTTCGGTTTTGTTTCGTAATCAACTTTAGTTGAAGTCTTTTCTGCAATCACACGGATGAATAGGTCGTCACGTTTGTCCAATTCAGAGTCACCCCTACAATGCATTAAAGAGGACTTGACAATGTGCCACACCCATCGATGTTCATCTGGAGAGATGAGGCAGCTCACTTGTATCCGACCAGTTTAATCTCTCCAGTGCTAGAGTCAACTCGAACTTCCTTTGCAAGGTGGCTCAAAGGGGCTGGTCGGCCATCGGCATATCGAACTTCCAAACCAGCCGCCTTCCATGCTGGATCAGTGACTGAAAATTCTTCACCCGTTTCTTTTTCTACGAGAAATCCACAAGACCTCTAATAGCGATTACTTTATCCAAATGGCTCACATGTTTTTGAGAAAGTCACAGAAAAAAATGGAATTGCCAAATCGAAGGACACCTAGACCCATGACAGCATTCATTTTCACAATTATCTACGCCTTCCGTACGCAAAGTTATTATAAATTTATAAAGCAGGGAAAAATTATACATGAACCTACCTACTATGATCACATTAAAGGTCTTATCTGAGTCTCGAGGCTCTGCGAGTCGATTCTGGTCCTCCAATCCGTCAACTTTTACGATGTACCTGTTTCTTTTGTCGTTTTCTGGAACTGTAATGAAGCGGGATACAAAATGCTAGGCGCAAGCAGTAACACACAAATTAGGGACAATACTGCACTCACCCGTGTCATAGTCTAGTATACCAGTAAACTGCGGCCTCTCAGCCTTGCCGTCAGTGAAGATCACAGAGTCTCCACCTTTCGAAAAATGCATCATTCTTCGTTCATTCTCATCAGTCGCATTGAGGACGGAACATCTGACTTCCAAACCAACAGCGGACGCTTTAAGACCAGTCAGGCGAAGCTCAAGGCCACCGTCAGGGAGAGGAATAACTTCAACACTGTCTGCCATTACACCTGTATCCACAGGTCTTCCGTCCTTACGAGCAATCTGCCAATGATATGTGTACCCCTCTGTGAACATGGGTGAATTGGGTGAAGTTTCTACGAAACAAAAGGTAGATAGCTAGTTGAGAAAGAAATAAATTAATCGACCGTGAAGTACAGTGAATGACTCACCCTCGAGACGACACCTCAGACTGACGTCTTTACCCTCCTCAACCGAAACATAGCCTTTATCGTCCCCTTCGATGTTTATGAAGGGTTTGTCTTTGAAGAAAATTATTAGAAAGCCACGAATTAAATCGCACACAGCGAGTAAAAGATGAACACATTAACTAGTTTAAATCCGATTATCTGGCTTGATAAGGCGATAACACGAATTGCATACAAGTTTTTAGAGAGACGCAAGACTCAAAATACCTTTAGTTTTTAGCTTCTCGACCACTTCAGGAGTTTTATCAGTGCCCTTGGCACCAATAGTTAAGAATGGTTCTGATGGGTAGCTCCTATTTGTCATCGGAATGAAAGCAATGCAGCGGCCCTCCACTACTGAATCACCCCCAGCCAGTGCGGAAAGGTCGACGTCATCCCGAAGTCCAGTCATCACTATCATATTACCTTCGCTTTTGAGATCTTTAAACAAGTGGCCAGAAGGAACGTCTTTGCCATTGGGAGCAGTAAAGTGCCAGGATATAGTGGCTGCTTTCAGATGCCGACCTTCATATGTGTCTACATTAAGGTAATCCAAAAAATAGTGCATTGTATATAGCATCGCAACCTGTTATTGATAGGAATAAATCTGTCCATTAAAAACAATGAAGGAGAATGTGACTGTTCAAGAATAACACACCGAAAGCATTGCACTGGAATTTAAGCTGATTGGGCGTTTCTCCTGATACCCTTTCCACGATCGTCCTGACTTTTCCATCTGTGCCTACAAGAGATGTGTATTTTCAAAGCAGTGAGGCATGTGGGCATCTGGCAGTGAAAAATTGCTGTAACCCGAGCTTGGCCTTACGTTAGTTTCTCTAAGGCGAAGGAGCTCAACAAGTTACTATAAGTAATGTTCTTCCAAAGATCATAAAGATTGCACAGATGTTTAACAATAATGCTTCCCCACCAAAGGAGTCATTGAGTGTTTACCTCCTTCACCCCGAACAATAATCAGGAAGGGCTTGGATTCCTTGCGGACCTTTCCATCCCAGAAGACGCATTTACCCCTCATTCCCTCTGGCAAATCAGCATAGACGCCACGGAAGCTGAGATCTTCACCTGCCATGAAAACTTGGCGTGCCAAATCGTTTAGGGATTTGGCCTTCTCCGCTACTATCATAGGGCCTTCCCATTCAAGCTTCTTTAGTCTACCAAAGATGGGAACGATCTTGCCGGTAGCAGAGTCTGCAGAAGATCCGTTGAGGTGGATTTAGGATTAGGAAATAAACTTTTTTGTATATCACAATGTTAAAGATCCATTAAGGGCTACACATGTGCAATTCGATCCTATACTACTTATTGTGACAGTTATGAATCAGAGTTACTAAGATTTGAGCTGTTTTTATTATATTGTATTATAAGCGTCTAGGTGTCAGTGGATTCTATGCAGTTGACCAAAGTACTCGACATTGATAGAGTAGGATCATTTCTGTGGGCAAACATCCTACGAACCTTTTACACGACAACTGACATGCCCATCGCCACCCGGTTGAAGGTAAAGTTCACCGAAGTCGTCCAATCCCTCCACTTCAATGTCATAGTTCTTTACAGGTACTAAAGTAAATGGGAATAACGAAAGTGACCCGAGACAATATAGGCACAAACAGCTTTGAAACGCAAAAGTAGAGGGAAATCTCCTACGTTAGCAAGTCGAAGTAGCGTACTACAGCATGAATTACGAAGGCATCAAAAAATTGTTAGTGGTAACTGACGAAAGGCCGGCAATAATTTCTAGTTTCTGACATCATATGTCCCAACCCCAACTTACCATCTACATTGACAGCATCGGAAGAGAGAATGCGTCCAGATTCATCGAGCGCTTCGCAAGTGTAGACACCTGTCTGTGGTGCGTATCGATTGAAGGACTCAGACCGTACTACAGTCCAGTAGTTGCGACCTCGCTCCCACGCAAGACCGTTGACTTTTGCCAGTACGTCATTGGTTGATCCCTCACCTCCGTTTTGGTTGAGGCGCCAGTTCACACCACCCGATGGTGGAGGGTAGCCACAGTACTCACAAACCAGCTTAGATTTACAAAAATAAGGTTAGTTTACTAATTATTGAGTAGATACCTGCGTTTTTTACGGGTCATCAACTCTTATAGCAACTTTTTGTCCCCGTTAACTAATAGCCATATTATTGGCGTTGCCTGTATATTTTTATCACCTAATCATCGCAATAGCAATGAGATGAAGCGTACCATACAACAACAACATCTCACCTCAAACGGCTCCCCCTCATCGACAGTCAAGTATTTCTTCTCATTAATCTGTACAATTGGAGTATGTATCGATTTGATGCGAATATACTCTCTGTCGACAGGAGTCTTTTCTCGGTCTGAAATGAACACAATCGCAACCCTTATATTTCGATTATGAACTTTCTAAATTGAGTGAATGTAATTGAGATAGTGTAAGGACTTAGTAAAGATGGTTTAAGTTAGTGTTTCACTGCGAGCCATTTTGAGGCCAATAAGTCAAGAGCCTCATCTCATTGGGGAAGAAGGCTTGGTAAGACAGTATTAAGTGCATGTAAATATTACCATTTCCATTCTTCTATCAAAGACCGCGATGAAGTTGAGATCAGAAATAAATGCTACTGAAGTGAGGACCAAAGAGAGGAGCACTGTAAAATAAACTCATAGGCATCATATTTCAAGCAAAAACCAATCCATCCTTTCACTTTTGATTCCGGAAGTACTCTCATGGGGCATAAAGCCGCCGCATGATCTCCATATCTGTCTCAACTTTAAGCTCAATTCTTTCGTCTGCTATTGTAGTGATAGAAGCGGAAGAGACGAAGCACACAGCACCAGAAAGGATTTTTGTACAAAGCAGAGTTGGCAGCCATCGAATGGTATGAATACCCGCAGTGCACATCATTGGTGTCTCAATCCCTCCGAGTGTGCATGGTAAAGTCCATCCACAATTCTCATGTCTTATACGACGTTTCGGAATAATTCAAGTGTTCAAAATGGCTAGCCTGTCGGAGGCTCTCAGAACTTACCATGTTTTTCCATTATATCAGTCGGGAGGAATAGACGCTCGATAGCAGTGCGAAATTCGTTCTTCGCTTCGCAGACATACAAACCAGCCATTTCACGAGGCGAAAATTCCTCCTTTCCTTTAACTGACCAGGACAGAGAAGCCGCGTTTGTTTCAGTCGAAACTTTAATCTAAAGGTGAGTTCCCAGTAATTCAAAATTCCGACATTCGATGTGGGCGCAAAGGCAGCTATCCATCACCTACACTACTCCTTTTCGCTCCATTATTCTAGTATCAGTCAACTTCTTAAGCAATTGCACCTACTAGCTATTACTAGCCTTCTCTAGCCGACAGTAAGTCACTGTTTTTTTTAGACTAAATCATACCGATTCGGGCAGCTTCTGACTATCTTTGGACCATGTCACCGTTGACGGTACTTCAGTATTCGTATCCACACATTTAACCTCGACAGGAAAGCGAGAGATCGCGGTATCAAATATTGGGAGGATTTTGATCTTGGGAAATTTGGCAGCTAAATGAAAAAAATGACCATATCTGACTTCCGCGCCTGTTATCAGCACAGGATAAGTTTGGTATTGTTTCTATGGGTTTTTTACAGTTTATCTTCCACAGAACTACATCAGCCACTTATGCTAACTCACCCATATCACCTGGAATGACGTTTAGCTTAAACCAGTCAGAAACCACAGGTCGACCATCGACATTTGTCTTTGCCCGACAGCGAAGATAAGTTATCCATCCAGGACGGCTTCTTAAATTACCAATGTAGATAGAGTTGTCTCGGATGGTCAGACCTAACCATGGCACCTCGCCAAGAGATGACTTGTCGTGTTCAACTTTGTCGGAAGATGTTCTCAATTCAGTGACTCCGCCCTCCGGTTGAGTGATATAGTCCCAGTCGTAAATGACATCCTCCACTGTTTGGTTACGCCAGACGTCTTAAAAAAACAAGTAATATTAAAGATACGCTTATGCATTATGAATTCATCCTGTTAGTTACAACGGGAAACAACGGAGTTCAATGAACTGTGTTCCATTACCTTGTGCAACGCAAGCAACTCCAACGGTATCGAGCTCCTGACCAGAGAGTATTCCGGGTTCAGTTAGACCACGTACAAAAGCTTTGATCAGAGGCTCGCGGATAATAAGGCGGTATGGAACTGAGGTGAAGAGTTCCTTCTTATCACCAATGGGAACAACGACAGCCGCAGAAATGCGAAATTCTGTGGCATGGCGCTGAAGACCTTGCAATTCAAGACGAGAAGGATATGGCTGGGTGTACCGCTGAGCCAGGATACCATCATCAAGCTTCACTGGTGCTCCATTGGCCTGAGTGATGCGCCAAAAGGTCTCCAAATCTTTGGAAAGTTCGGAACCATCGGAACCTGGGACATTGTGAATTCCGTTTTAGCGAGTACTTTTAATTAGCTCAAAACGAGTGAGCACCTAACTTTGTTATTTGATGACAGAATTTAGGAGATGATCCTGAATTTTTGGAAGCAATGCATCTATTTGCTAAAATTAAGTGATTTAAAGTGGAGTTGTCCTTAATCAGATCAAAACACCGCATGACTTTTGGTCATAAGATGAGCTTGAAGTCTGTCACAATAGGAAAGGGTAAGTTTCTATAAAGCAGCTATTAATACCCACCGAGCGACTTCACGTCAATTTCCATGTTTCCGTTGGTCAATCCAATCAGATCACCGTTGACAAGCGCTGAACTATTTAAAGTAATGACTGCAAAAGGTCTTTCATCGGAGCTGACTACAATTTAAAAAAATGTTTCAATTTCGTTTTCACTTTGTGAATTACTTCGTATAAGGTGAGAAATTAACCTTCTAGTGTAACTTTGGCATTTTCTCTTCCATCCGGGGTATTAATCGCAAAATTGAGGACTTTCCCATCGAAGGTGATAGGTGTGTCCTCGATGCTGACGCGTCTCCACGAATGTCCTCCACCTGAGGAGATTTCTGGAACATCGGTCGAATTATCCAACGACCAAGTGATTTCGCCAGTATCCGATGGAAAATCATACTCAGCAACGATCTGTGGAGGTTAAGATATTTGGTAGGTGTGGGAAAGAAATGAGTTTCAAAGTTTTTACATTGCGTCCATCTACGAGATTACCAGAATGGTAATTTTCAATTAAGCAGACTCATAGACATGAAGGTAAAGTACCTGTAATGGCTGGCCTTCTCTGACATCCACTTGGTAGTTATCATTCCCCTGAGGGATGAGAGTCCGACCCGGAGAAGAGATTCTCAGTTTTGGTTCCCGATGTTGAATCAGACCATCCGATCCTAAAAGTTAGGCTACTCAACTAAACTTTATTAAAGTCAAGACACACGACAGAATATGACTTTACGGATTACCCTCTGGAAGTGGCCTCGGCTTGATGACAACTGATTTCTCGACAGTCCATGAAGGAGTTTTTACTTTACAGGTGTACCTTCCTAGGTGTTTAGAGGGCTGAAATCCGCCAATACGACGCCAGTCTAGTTCCACCTCCTCAGAATCTTCCAGTCTTGGCTTCTCGAGAGCCTTAGAAGAAGGATATCAACGATTTTAATAAAAGTGAAAGCACCATAGATTGTGTGGTCAGTTCGTTTAGCTCCGTCTTCAAACAATACAACTCCTAGCTTGTGACTTAAAATGGATTATAATGTCTACAACTAATTTAACTGACGAAAAGAGAAGCATACGAATAAACGGTTGAAATAATGCTCAAAGCTCATGTGTCACCCCCGATACTATCTTCAAAAGCAAAGGTGAAATCCAATAGACAAAGTAACTAAAGTGTACCGTAATTTGTTTTTCGTCCAGATTGTCAGAAGTTATCGTCACAGTTGCATTAACTCTTGGATTGCCCTCAGCACAGACAAGTCTCGTAGGGAAGATTGATTGGGGATCATCGTATTTAAGCACAAGTATGATTCGAGGATCGGGTGATTCTAGAAGGAACGCAAGTGTGATAATCGCGACCTAACATTTACTGACGTATAGTCAAGGAAACAATTCAATTCTCAAAACATCAGTCGAGTCAGAGCATCACTTAAGAGTCCTTAAGATTATGGACACACCTATATTGAATTGCAGTGACCCAGAAAGATTGACCGTTGGCACTGGGAAGCACTGGAACTTAATGTATTTGCCACTGGCCAACGGAAAGTTGATGATGAATTGTTGTTCATTTTTCCGATTAACTAAAAGTCAAACAGGTAACAGGCTTCAAAACTTTTATGCAAAGCAAAAAAAATGGAAATAAATGTGTGTGCATACCTTCTGTCGTGATGTCCGTAGACGTATTTTGAATTTCATCTATTAATATCCATCTCGGTTTCTTACAAAGTGAAGACTCAGGAGTGAAACCGAAAACGTAGTAGGCAAAGGCATCTTCGACTGTTGACTGAGGTGGTTCTACGTCTTTTACCTCCTCAGGGTTCTCTCCGGATTGTCCTGGCGGAACCGAAACCAGTGACGGTAGTAACCAAGGCTGAACAATAACCTTGGTGCGCAATTTGCTGACGTCACCTTTCTCTGGGATGGTAACAGTAGCCTCGTAGTCGCCCTCATGCTCTTCAGCCGAGGCATAAATGATCAAATCCCCGTCCTGATTGACTTCTATGCCCTGAGGAAATTCGAAGCTTTCCAATGGTGGCAACCCTAGACGCCGCCACTTTATCACGACATTTTTGGGCTTCCCATTAGGGACGTTAACCCAAATTTTAGCAGGCTCAAGGAAGGTCAAATTGAGAAAAGAATGACTGAGATTTATTCCTGTGGCAGTCTCTATAAAAGGAAGGGAAATAAATTGTTTCTTCCTACCTACGCATATCTAATTAGGCTGTTATTTCTCACATTCTATGGAGCGGTTTGAAAACTCTTAAAGTTTCGCCTTCTAACTCAAAAACCAGGATCAAACCAAAGTACGATTTTCGCTCACCCAATATGGCGGGCTGCTTGACTCTAGTTGGCTCTGGGAGATGTACCCAAATTGGCGTCTTAACGGGATCTTTTCCCACCAGGAATCCATTAATGTTCTCGCCTTTTGCAGTCATTTTATCAGCTTCAAGTGGCAAAATAACTGAAAACTCCCCTGTTGCCGAATCAATTACCGGATCGAGAATTGGAGTTATCTGAGTTCCGTTGGGAGCCAGCCACACAATGTGGTAGTGGTCTAGGCTGTTCGGCTATAAGACATCGATTATGCACATGTAAAAGAAATTAGTCTATATGCGATTCTGTATTGTAAAACATACTGGCGAAACTTTTCCTTTGAAAATAGCTATACTAGGATCCTTTTCATCCGAGTCCATAGTTAAATACTCAACGAATGGTGGGGCATCAGGTACAGGGATTGGAACTGGAAACTCCTCATTTAGTTTATCTCCTGGTTCTCTTGGTTGCTTTGTATCTATAATGAAATGATAAACTTATTGGTTGCAAGGAATCGAACACGTTCCTTATTGCAGAAAAGGAGCTGTAGTTGAGTCATACCTGGGTCTCTGATAATGAGGTGGAATGACTCAGTTAGATTAGCTCCCAAAGCGGCCACTTGACAGTCGTAGAGACCCGAGTATTCCTCTTTAACATTTTTAATTTCCAACTGCACTTCAGAAGTAATCGGACTCCATTTGTCGTCCTCGACGCGCGAGTTGAAAGGCAGGAGTTTTCGCCTAATAGTGACATCGGATGAATTAGCCACAAGGGCAGGCAGACGCCAGGTGTGGACTGGAATGCCTCCCCGATAGGAAGTTGCACGACAGGTTAGCACAACACGACTGCCAGGATGAGCTACCACCACGCGACCCTCTGAGTTCATCACAACACCTAAAAATGACGTGAATAAATAGGAAATCCTATATTCAGGGAAAATTTAAGATTACTACTGAGCATATTCTTAATGTCAATGAAGTTGGGCAGTGGTTCAGATTTTTATGGTTGTATTTAGGCAGTCATCGATGCAGACTTCTATCGCATCTTTTAAAAGCGCAATTGAGTTGACATCTCTTGAATGAAAACGCACCCTTTTGACAGCTATCATAGACGGTGTTTGTGAGAAGGTCATATTTGAATTGCCCGTTTGGACACCTGAAATCGAAAGACGATCATTAAGTCAATCGTGAAGGGATCAGACTTCTGTAGTGTGTTCATTTCGATTCAAAGACTAATTTACTAGTCTGGAAAAGGTTATGATTCTATCGAAAGCGTACGGCAAGTGTCTGGCACACATAGTGATGAAGAGAAGCCTATCTGCAATAATACGTTCAAATGGTGCATTTATGGTGCGCATAATAACCCTGAAGTCATCAAACCAACTGTTCTTCAGTCCAGTAAACACTTAACATTCGAGATGGAAAATTTGATGCGCAGTGCCGGAGATAAGAGCATGAACAAATTAAATTCTTTTCTGAATCAAAAGGACATTATGATGCTACATCAAAGCCCTGCCTGCTGGAAAGCGTGGCGCAAATACTAGTGAAAACGAGGTGCTTATACAACCACTGTAAGCATGAAAGGTGGCGACCACTTCAGCTTGGTTTTGTGATACGATTCTGGAGGCTAAAAGAATGCATAAGCCTAAAACTGTTTGCTTTTAGGCGTAGTCACGCTTTTATCTAAATGCGTCCAAGATTTGATATCTTCCTGCCAGTATTCGCAAAATTGGAATAAGTGTTTGGTTATGCAGAATTGTGAACTTACGCGTCGCATTGAGGTCCTTTGCATTCGCCACACTCGAAATCGGGTTCAGATGGATGAAGATTCACGACTGTTGACTGGGAGAGATTAGTGCACCCCTAAGGTAGCAAAATCATTTTACAAACAGGTGATTAAAGTTTCCATGAATTTGATGGCTAGATTGTAAAGATGCATGAGGCCCGTTTTCAATCAATTTTCCTTTTAAGCACTAATTACTTTGGCAGTCAAGACGGATGTTCTGAGGTCTTACCTGTTGAAGGCTCGATAAAGCCAAGAATATATTAATAAGGCATTTAGTTACAACACTTGAAGTAAAGGTTTCAAGAGCGAAGGGCGAGTAGACGCCTTGTCACCACAGGGACGAGGTGCATGGTCACGCTGAAGAAAATTTTTACCTCACAACTGGGAGAAAGGCCCCTGCCTTCTGTTGGACCACACTCGCAGATTTCTACGGGAGCAGACCTCAATCCTTCATCCTCAGCGGCAGCGGAGGCATTGGCAAAATCACGAGCAATTTCAAATGACAGACCACCAATTCGTGCATTCTCAAGGGCGTTCTTACTCGAAACCATAGAGATACCGATTGAATTAGCCGTAGCCAAGACTCGAAGTAAAGCAGCTCGAGATAACTCAACATTTTGTGTACGCCATCCACCGTTCCACCAATCTTCGATGAAATCAACCTCATAGCGCTGGTTGGTGGGATTGAATGCAGCGGAGGTCCAGAATGATCCAAACTTGGGTGACTAGAGAAGAAATAATGAAACGGATGCTTATTTTTGGCTTCACATTATTCCTACGATTTGATCCATGCTTCCATGGTGTTGGAATGAGATCCAGTATCTTATGGCCCATACTGCAGGCATGTCTGAACATCCTCTCCTCATAAGTAGGCATAAAGCTTTATGGTTTTTGACATTTAATAATGAACCAAGATTGACATTGTGCAGAAGTTTTCGTGGTGTAATTACCTCAATTGTTACGACCAACCGGTTCTCACTGACAGTTGATTGTGCATTTTTCTCCCGAAAGCGTTTTAACCGAAACGACATCTTTCCTCCGTACAGATATCGCTAGCAAGAAATTTATCTTTCAGAGTAAGGAGGATTAAACAGCCTAAACTTCTCTCAATCAGCATAACTCACGTAGACGGGGAGATCGGCTTCGTTGTCACCGTTTTGAGTATCAGTGATTTTAATGGAGATCTGTGAAATGCCATCAGTGGTTAGGGGTTCTCGTATAACAAGGTCTTCAGGAGGTCCAACTTTATTTATGTTTGTGGGAGCATAAGCACGTTCTATCCGTTGCTTGCCGGTACTGTCAAGAGGGATTGCCTCCACCTCGCCGTTTGCCAACTTTCTCGACATAAAAACGTCAAACTTGTATCGTCCCGGATTTGCCTGTTAAGCGTGTAGAGAAATTGAGCACACCAGGTTCAAGAGGAAATAAACTGTTCATAAGCTGTATGGCCAACTAAGTAATGAGATGTAAGGGGGCAGCTTACGAGTGAAACATTTTCAAAGAAGTAGGTCTCCGATTCCTTGCACGATTTTGTTTTGCCGGCACAGTAGCAGGGTAGACACTTCTCCCCGTATTTCATATATCCTGTAGAGCATTCTCTGCATCTCTCACCTTCGTAACCTTCCTACAACCAAAAATGAAGGTTAAAAATTAACAAATTAGGAAAGTAAAATGGTTATAGTCTTTTTTAAGTTTTGGTTCGGTTCTTACCTTACAATTGCATATTTCAACGGTTGTGATGCTTTCAGTTCCCAGAGGATTGCAAAGGTTCAGCAACTCGGAGCGTTCCTCACACTTTGCTTCTGGCGGTGGAGACTCTGATTTGCATAGGTCACAGGAGTCGTCTAACAGGCGTCCATCCTCCTTTACCTCGCATCGACACCGATAACCAGTCAGTGACTGAGGATCTGCCGTGCATTCAGTACTAACGCTAAAGGGATTTATTGTTTGCGTTTGTCTTGAGTGGATAGCAATCAAAGTTTACCTACTCATTTTGTTCCCTATGAATTCCATAAAACTATGCTAACCTAAGTGTCTCTTCTCTGTGCATACATTTGATAAAAAGATTACGTACTGAGGTAAACCACCACCGCACTTTTCGCAGGGTAGACAGGGCGATGTTATTGGCATGTCAAGAGGGCGATAGAAACCGACTCGACACTCGCTGCAGTCTGGTCCCGTTGCGTTGCCGCGACAGGCGATACAATTGCCGTCAGCATCACACTCGTCACATGGACACGCCAAACTGCACTTAAATGGATCCTTGGAATCGTGCTCATAACCTCTTGTGCATTGCTGAGTAAGAGAAATTCGTCAGTCATTAGAAAATTCACTTTCATTACTTTACAAATTAAATAGTTCTTCTGGGACATAAAACTAGAAGTGATGATGCCAAGTGACTAAAACACATCCTCCATGGATGTCTGTTCGAATAGTGTATTTCAACCAACCTGACAGGAAAGTCCCTCGTAGCCCTCAGGACACTTGCAGAACTCAATCTCAGGGTACAGTGTTCCAGGAGCATCCGTAGGCACAACATGCTCCAGTCGAACATCTGTCAACTTGTAAGTCCCTTGGCCTCCATACAGGTTGACACGGAAACGGATATTCTCTACGTTCGACAGTAACCTCATCATCTGTTCACGGCGGGGTGGAAGACCGTTTTCCTTGCAATCAGGGCCATCCGCTTTCCAACCATTACGCTCAGTGAGACGAATCTGGAGCTGGTTTTGATAGCCCTCCTCATCGGTGTACAGCACTGGTTGATTTGACGGTCCACAATAGTAGATAGTTTCCCCGTTGCCCTAGAGAACATTATCTATGCTCATTTCGTGCCTCTCTATTGTTGCATGTAGAGACTACAAAACACCCATCTACCCAACCCAATAAAACTTAACAAATCTATTCAAAGATCTTTCTACAAGCGTACTCTTCTTCACTTCAATAAAACGACTTCGAGAAACACATTTATTGTGATTTGTGGCCGACAATCAATAACTTTTATTCAATATGGTACATAAATTATAAAATTAGGTAAACTTACAAAGCCTCGAAACAAAATAATAGGCAGAACAACTACTTAAAATTTAATGACTATTTTTCCAGCTTTGGAATATGACGAGAGCAGGGATCGACTCAACGAAATACTCCACGCAAATTGAAACTGACCTCAAGAACAACAGGTGCAAATGGTTGGTATCCTTCCACTGGTCCTACTAGCGTAATATTGGCCTTCAAAAAGAGGCTGTAGGAGGTGATCTAAAATGGCGAAAAGTGAAATGCAGCCATGACACTGCATCGTGAGGAGTTATACGGTTACTACAGTCGAGAGACTGTTTCTGGTGTCGAGGACTTGAACTCATGTTATGGCCGAGATTTCGCTCGTTTGGGAACAATGCTTTAAGCAAGTCATTTGTCACTTCTCAAGACATGATTCATGAACGGCATCTAAATCGCTTTATCAAACCTTTACGCAGATTGAGATACAAATTCATAACAGATTGACCAAAGAGCAACTGCAGCCGAAGTAAGTGAAAAATGGAGTATATTAACCTTTTGTACACGCTCTTGCAAGCCACTTTCCTTAACGAAGAGTGTGGAAAGTAGGTGCCATCCATTAAAACTTCACATTGATTGATCTGCATTGCAATATAGTTTCAGTATTACGAGGATTCAGATCGAATACATGCAAATTTTGCTGTATTGCTTTAATTAGCTCCGGATGTTCGTTGTAATGTCGTGGCAACTACATGTTCCGGTCATGAGATCTCCAAATTCTATTCCAGGACCTCATTTTTGTGTTATAATTCATCCACCTGGCTAGGTGGAATGCATACACAATTAGGGAGCACAGACTTGAGAATTGGGTAACAAGGACAAATAGAACCCAAACGCTATGCTTACGAAAATACTTTACCTCCTACCTACCATTGGATGACTCAACTTTTAAGCCATTGTCATCACGCACAATGATTGTATAAGACAAATAGCCCATTCTCCCTCCACAAATTTCTAGACTTGGCATAATTTCTGAGGGGAATCAGTGATGCCTCCTTTGGAAATCTCATTTGTACTCAAATTTAGAGTACCAAATATTTCCGATGCTCAACAAAAAAGAATGTATTAAGGGAAGACTGCCAATCTAGCCATTATCTATGTTGTCTTAATGCTACGAACTCTTTGGTCTTTAGGAGAGGCTCAGGACGCTTTAGTGCATACTGCAATGTGTCCAGCGAATAAAGACATGTTTCCAAACACAATGCAACTAGGCATCTACGCTTTCAGAATTAAAAGCTGCCTTTGCTATCTGAACATATTTGTAAGACACTCGCTTGAAAAGTGGCTGTCTCGAGAAGAAATGCTCGTAATAATTTAAGCCAAGGCAGGACCATTACGCTTCTTTAGCATTTGAAGAAAGGTTCTGCTCATGCTCCAAAGCTTATTTATGGCTTCAGGCCAGGAAAAGGGAGTTAAGAAAGTTGTGAATACCCAATCGCTGTTTAGTCCAAACGTCCCTTCCAAGTAAGTGTGATTAGCCTTTGGGACGGTGATCGTGAAAGTGCCATCAGTCAACTGGAGGCCCTGCAGTTCGCCTGGGAGCGGCTTATCCTCCGAGTCGTACTCCACCAGTCGTACATCCTCGATTGAGCTCTTTGCAACCTTATCTGCCTGGAGGGGAATGATGAGTCTCGCTAAGTAAAGTCCTTGCCATAAAATAACCCCTTAGTGAAGAACGGATAGCTCATCTTTCACTTAAAAGTAATGCATGCTGATGAGACGCCACTTCATTTAGCCATAGAATCGTGTATTTCTGATCGGTAAGCTGGCTTGATCTTTATGTGAGACTTCACCTAAGCAGATCAAAAGTCCATTTCTTCTCTTTAGTGCGATTGATAACAGAATTGGTTTTCTAACACCCACAGATTGCAAAATTTTGGTGTCTGCGAACATAACAGCTTCCAACCACACCTTCGTTACAACTTAGCTTTAATGCAACTGAAAACCTAATCAGGTATTCAGGGTACGCCCAACTGTTCACTATAACTTGCTTCTCACCATTTTATTTGGTTTGCTTACCTCTCGTCATCAAGTGGTTGAAATAAGTTGGACTATATTGGAACCTTGACTTCAAGCACTTAACAACTAGTCTGCCGATTACTTGAACGACACATGACGACCAAACAATCTGGTTGTGACTTCATCCATTTTGGCATAGCAATTCATCTTCTCAAAACCCTTATAATTTGATTTGGCCTTAGCGACGTGCATCATTCGAAAACCCGAATATCGCAATGATCTCAGCATTCAGCACTATCTTTAAGTAGGAAATTTTTGCCACATCTTCGACAACTAACTAGCAACTTAATGGAGCAAGACAATTGGAATTTACATTTGGATTACTTTTAGTTTGCACTGCAGGTGTTTCTGATTAATGGGATCAATTGCATTAATACTATTTGGCTAAATATTTTATCAGCATCCTTCACAATGTGGGCACATACAGGAGCAAGAGAGTACCCGCGCAGGCTTGTGCAGACATTGGAGACACCTGCACAATAGCAGTCAAGGCACATGTCCTCATTCCATGCTGCGTCGTTGAATTTCGGTGAGGTGCAGTAGCTTCCCGCTAAATGAATAAAATTTACAATTTTACTATCACAAGCAGATCTTCTGGTTAAGCCCATTCAACAAATGTAAAGTGGATAAGGGCAGAATTCGGTCGCATAAAAAGTGGTTCTTTGCTGTTTTGCTTTTCTGATATCTTATTTTATTTTGCACAACCGGAACAAATAAGTAAACAAAAAAGCCATCTCCTTTGTGCAGATATGTAGCATAAACAAACGTAGCATTGAACCTGAGTTTGGGTGTATTTAATAGGCATAAACACCACAAAAACTAAGACTATCTTCAGTGCCTTTATACCGCCTAACCAGTCTGAGTGTTTATTTGCAGTGCCTTTATGCTGGTAAACGCCTGCGAATGTTTACATGTTGCATGGTACCACATCCGTGGCATGCCGACCCATTCCGAGGGCATATCACGATAGCAATGGTAGATACTCACCACCAACATTAACGGTGTAATCGGGAGCCAGTACACGGTCTTGGTAGGTCACAGCTTCACAAGTGTACATTCCACTAGCACGTGGATCAATGTTGAGCAAAGTAAGATAGCTGGTGACACGATCACAGCCCTCAATGGTGGTGTTCTCCACATAGTCCACATCGGTTTTGATGGGACCCCAGTTGAATCGCCAATTGATGGTGGGCGGTGGAAGCCCGTGAATAACGCACTTAAGAGTTACGTTTGTCCCTTTAATGCCCATCACGTCCTGACCTCGAGGAGGGTAGATTACACTTGGTCGACCTGAAATGTGATCAAACATTACTCCCACTTTTAACTTTCTACAGAGTTCTTCAATTTAGCATTCTTAAAGCAAGTTCAACGTACTGCAGCCGATTTCGTCACTTCCAGAAGGAGTACAGTCAATCTGAGAATCGCAGAGATAGGACCGAGGAATTGGCCTCTGGCTTTCCGGACAAATGTAGAATTTGTTGCTGCATGGTGTGTCGGGGTTTGGTGCTAAATGTCGACAAATAACGATTCCTTGATTTATCACGGAAAATAAATCTAGTGACTTTTTACTTTAAATTGAGGAAGGTTAGGAGAATGGTTCAATTTATTCACACTTACATTTTAGGTCCACTGTGGTTATCCAATGGTATCAAGGTTTGTGAATAAATAATTACCTGGGCAATTGACTTCATCGAATCCATTGCCACAGTCATCTTCTCCATCGCAGTGCCAAGAGCGGAGGTAGCAGAATCGTGAAGGATCTTTCCCATCAACGGGCAAGCAGGCGTACTGATTTGGTTCACATTCACCTCGAGGAGGGAGCAAAATTGGAAGAAAGTAGGAGAAATCAGGACAGATTTTTATAACGGAAGATGTCCTTGGCTAGACGCTCCATCTATACCTCTTTAACAAAGCTGACGAATGTCGGCTACAATTGACAATGGCGTCATCAAACAATATACGTAACCAAATCCCAAGAATGGTGCAACATTTTCAAAGTTAAACATCCTCATGGTTAGATCTTCAAGCGTTACGGTGTTCTCGTGTCAACTAACACTTCTAAGGGTAGGGCCATTTAACGTCTCCCAACAAGATCCGAATTCGATAGCAGTGGTAGGAAGTGGTAACCCTACTTCTCTGCGTGCCAGTAATTACGCAATAAAACAGCACTGTGTCTGCATAGTACCAGGATCTGTTGCATTTTTTTCTCATTGCATACAATGACCACAGAGGGCCAGGAAATCTCCCCTACAATATTTAAAATTCCTGCATCCTCCCGCTATCAACTTAGCCACATACAACATTATAAAATTCCGGGGATAAAAATCTTTCTTACTTCTATTTCACTTCGGAATACATCATTCTGTGAGGGATAATGAGTGATTCTTAAAAGAAGCAAGAAAGTTGGGAGGATGATATATGATCCATTAAGTTTATGCTGGATAGAAGTAACATGCATATCTTTCAGTTCTGCGGTCTCATTTCTTAAATTCCTAACGCAATGCAACGCTTTTATTGATTTATACATTTTAAAATGAAGTTTTCTTAGACTACAACGGGCATATGAATCTTGTGATTCAACCCTAAATTGAGGACACTTACGACAGCGCTCTGGTATTTCATCGGACCCGTCAGGACAGTCAGGAACACCATTGCAGAAGAGGCTTTCTGAGATGCACTTGTCTCCACCGCATGATCTTTCTCCTGGACCACAAACTTCCTGAATCAGAATCTTTGCCTCAGCCTCGCGGAACTGTTGAGAGGGAAACAAAACAAGAATAGGTAACTGAGTGCCTTACAAAATACTCAAAATGGTGAATTTGCGAGAAACTTGTTGAGGCTAACTCTTGGAAAATCGCCAAATTTTAAACTTCTGTGGACGTACTCCATCAGTGCAAACGTAGACAACATTATTGAAGTCATTGTTCACATTCTTGACAACAAGAACTGCGGCGTTTCGAGCCGAGGTGCCGGTAATAATTTCTTCACGACCGGCACTAAGTGAGCGACGGTCTTTACGGAACCATGAGACCTTTGTGGCACCGCCCAACACTAAACCCCCATCGGACAGGGTTACGGTGCAGAAGAAGCGCACAGTCGAGCCCGGACGAGTCGTGACAACCTCGGGGTTCACGCTAATCTCTAAAACAGAGAGGCTTGCATTGAGGTAGAAATAGCTAATTTCTACTGAAGTTCCCTATCTGAGGCTTTAAACAAATTCTCCTACTTCCATCCTTAGGACGCACTGCTAATTACCTTAGACATTTGAAATTAGGAGTGAGTTCTGCTTCAGAGCACGTACTTTTAAAGTTGCTATGCAATGGTAACTAGTAAAGCTAAGAAAATCATTTACAAAAAACGAAATATCATTATTAACAGCTAGAGGTTGCCACACTCGCATATGGAATGCAGAGAAGAGAATTCGTAGGTTCCATCGCACAACCCAACGACAAATGTGCTTGGCTAAATCAAGAGGGAATTAATTGTGTCCAGAAGTCCGCGTTAAAGACATATCAACGGAAATTGTGACTTTCTTGATGCAGACTTTGTTGCGTAATAAATTTTTAGGTCTCCCCTCCAACAGTTAACTGTATCTGTGGTGCCATTCTCCGTGCCATAAAGAAGGACGCTAAATTCGCAAAAAAACTAAGGATAACCTATGCAATGTGTCTGGCTCTCGGCTCTACCTTTTCGATGCAGAAAGTACGACTGCGAAGATTTATAGAATATTTACCGCCGCCTAAAATTTGTGGAGATTTTGTACTTTTTCAGATCTTTAGGTCGTGGTTAGGTATTTAGCATTTATGAGTTTTTGCATCCGCAGCATACTTCGATCCTCGATAATGAGTTTTCCAACATCCATATTCCGACGAATGCGGCATATGTACTGGCCTGCGTGGCGCTTTTCAGGATTTTTAATGAGGAGAAATGCTGTGGCCGGAGCTGCCGCTGGTTCAGAAATCTCTGCATCTGCGGGTATACCCTGTTCTTCCGTCGAACCCTCTGGAATGAAGGACCATCGCACCTAAATAAAAAAAAATTAAATGGCAACGCATGACAGAGATAAGTGTTGCCGGGGTAGAGAAACCCACATTCTTGCCACCATTTTTCATACCCGTGACTCGACAATGAAACTCAGCCATATCATTAATTCCGCTGGATTTGTAGTCCTCCTTTGGTTCAATGTTGATTGATACGGCTCCTTCAAGTTAAAAAGTTACCTCTAGTGTTCTGGAATATGCCAAACGGCAGGTTGAATTCAATCATAGGGTAGAGGGTGAGACTTACTTTCCCTTACAATAATGTGAGAGGTCTTTACAGTTTCGCCGAAACGGCAAGAATAGGTGGCCGTTCTGTCTTCCTTTAATTCGGTGAAGCCAAGAATGCTCGATTTGCCCAGGTCCACTCGATTCGGTACTTTGCCCAACTTCTCACCGCCGACGTACCAGTCAATCTGGATAGAAAACGTTTTACAAAATCCATCAGCGACGTGGCTTTACACATCCATCTAGGTAGAGAATCGAAGTGGTTGGATTTTAAACGCACTCCTAAAGTCGCAACGTTTTCTCACCTTTGTCAAAAAAAACAGTTGCGCAGCATGTGGACATCTTGAAAAGCAATCATCTACTTCCATTAAAAAAATCTTTATGAGGTTGCTCTATGAACCTGATATAACGGTAATCAAAGCACACGGTAATCGATTTTAAAGCGGTCCCATCAACCACAAATACGGAAGTGACACTTGACAGCTAATAATGGACTGCGTGCACTAGGGAAGAACTTTCCAAGCTTAAAGTAATTTTAAAAAGTTATTCTGTTTTAGTTTTGTCATATGGACTTACGTCTCTTGCTCGAAGAGGCGAGTGCGGCGGTATATCACAATGCATTTCTAACTGTTCATCAGGGTAGAGTACGATGATGTCGTCCGGCTCCTCTGACAGTTCAACTAAAAGGTGTAATACATGTTTAAGCCTTGATTTCCGAAGTCGATTGGCAAGTTCACTAAAATGTTGATGCATGTAAACCAGATGAGACATTGCACTACTTGTCTCTTGAAATATATGACTGGGTAATAAAAAACAAAAGATGGAATAGCATCGAAATGAGTTAAGATTAATAATGTAGCACACAAATTGTTAACCAAATGACTTACCAGAATTGAGATCCGGTGGCTTGAATTTAGTTAGTCCGCTGAAGATGCTCTCGCCCAACTTTTCCCCGGAGATAAGATCGTAGACAAGGCAAGTGTAGTGCTCTTTGAGCTTGGTGTCAGGGTCGGTGTGGGCCGAAGTACCACGAGCCAAGAGCCCCACCAAGTCGACTTCCTTCAATGCGCCGCTCCCAACTACACTTCCGTTATTTGCCAACCACTCGTAACGGACGTCTTTGTTGCCGTCCCACCGGCATTCAACTGTTGCCGTCTTTCCGCTTGCACTCACCTCTCGCAATATGAACTGGGGTCCTTAAATTTTAGGCAGTACAACAACTGCACATTCACTGATTCCTTGAATTTGCTTATTTCTCATCAAGCAATCACAGTCTAACCGGTTAACTTTTCCTCACTGTAAAATCTAAATAAATGATTAATGCTCTTGAAATGATTGTTAATTGAGTTAATTCCCACAGATGGTACAATTTCATTAGAAGTGACCAATCTTACGATGGTAAAAACAGATAAATGGCAGTGCAGACTTAAAATGAGGAAGAACTTTGATTAAGAACCCTTGTCTAAGAAAATTCGTGGGTATGTTTACTACATTTGAAAGACATTGAATTCGACTTTCTCATGTAAACAACGCAAAAAAGGCTTTCAAAGACAGCATAAACACGTATTGAGGGAAATGAGGCTTAAATTTTGTGTGATTTTAAAAACTTTGGTTGCGCTTGCGTGTATGCATGGAGGAGATATTTTTCTTATTATTTCATAAACGGGTATGTGGTTTACGTGGTTGAAGATTCCCATCCTGCGGCAAAATCTGAAAACAGATTACTTCGGGAGACTACATCATCATAGATGTGTGGCGAAATGTCCAAAAAATTGACATTTCGCATAGTAACATTCCTCGAAACTAGCTTAAACAGTATCAAGCTAGGCTCAAGCCTCACTCACCTGCATTACTGCGACGCGACCGCGCCAACGCTTTAAGCGCACGCTGGGTGCTAGGATTCTCGATGGAACAGTAGAAAGGCTGATCAGAATCCAGGACTATTTGGTGTTTTCCTGAGTAGAGTAGATGCACAACCCCTAGAGGCCGTTCCCAACTTATCATGCTAGAGGGAATGAGCTCGTTCACCTCCTGTTTGCACACTTTGACCACTCGGTTGCCCTCCGCCACCTTCGAATCCGCCATTTGAGTTACCACCGAAGCTGTCAGTGGAGACGTTTGTAAGCTACTCCATTTTAGAGATCACTTGTGAATGAATAGCCTAATTTCAGGATCTGCTGATCCGATCACTCTGATTACTTCTACTCCAGCTACCATAGTTTTACCTATAAACATATTGAATGGCTAAACCTATGCACGATACTCCAACTTCTAGCTTTAATGTTTCTTACAGAGGATTGAAGTTTCGGTGACTTCGAAAGCAGTCATTATTTCCTCCACACAGACTGCCTGTTGTAAATAATGAAAGATTTAAAAGAATCAAAATGGTAACTACAAACGGGTGGTGTATTCTTCTGTTAAATGTAAAATTTGAAGGAATTGCTTTTCATGTAAGATCTACTTTAATGTGGTTAAGACCTTCTTTACGATTTCCATCAAAAATTTGGTTGGACTTTAAAAGCAGTCAAGGGATGATGAATCAAATCTACCATCGCCCTCCAACTGCAAATAAAACCCAAACATTACAAACTGACAGAATGTCAAAACAAACTTTTATTTCCGAATAAAAAATAATTTATCGTAACCATCCGTGCCTTAAATGCCAAGGCAATTGACTTGAAATGCCCTCCATGCATGTAGTAATCGTAAACAGAATAAATGCATTCTGCCTTTAGCAATCAATTATTTTACAACAGGATGAATGAAGGATGATAAGAAGAGCGAATTCTTTGGTTGTAGTGAAACATTTCATAAATACAAACCATCTCACCTTCATTCGCTTGGATAATGAACTTTTGAACAAGGAGTGAGAGTTCGGGCGAGTAGCCTTCCTCAGTGGGTTGAGCAGCGCAGTAATAAATGCCCAGATCACTCATCTTGATGGCGGCGAAATTCAGCGCATCCACAGGATCTTTTGAGGAAGCCTCAAGTATCTGTTCACCACCAGATCGGAACCATTGATGCATTTTAGCCTCGATTGGACATTCGACTTTAAGAGACTGGCCCAGCCTAACCTTGACAAACCTCATCTTGTCGGGATCGTAATTGAGAGTCGTGTAGACAGGAGCTAAGGTGGTGAAAGACGAGGCGTCAAAATCTGATGAGAACACATTGTAGAGGATTCGGCTAGGCACATAAAGAAGTCTTAAAAAAGCAACTTTGAAGATAAATTATGGAGTGTTGAAAATGCTTGACGGATCTACACTAATTTTTTGGTCTTAATCAGGCCTGTGATCAGACTGTCAAATCTATGCTGCTCTGAGCACTATTACCGCGTGCGGAATAGGGCAAAAATTATAGTCACCTTTGAAGTTTGATATCAGCTGTTTCTGCACATCAAAAGTGGTTTTGGATACCAAGCTCTGGGTCTTTGATTCGAACACGCGGCAAAAGAAGACAAAAGCATTGGCATCTTTGTCCAGGCTCTCTGTGGATAGAGCTAGCACAGTTTCTGATTTTCCATCTTTTATTACCACCCGCATTAATTCAACATTAGTCGCGTCCGAGTAGACCAACACATCACCGGCCACTGCTTGATAGAGAGGGCATCGCAGCTCTAACATGGAATTGGTCTCCCTCAGACGCAAATTCACATGATAGAAGTGCGGCAAGGCGCCATGTGAAGGAATGAAAAGAAGTGACGTAAGGAGAAAACAAAACATGTAAAACCGAGGAGCCCGCCAATGGTCGACACCCAGTATCACCGCACCCATCGCGTGAGCTTGTTTGTTCGGATAGAACTACGGCCGCGAACACCGTAACGGCATAATATATGCGACTGCACTGGCGAATCACCGCATTGTTTAGTTTAGAGGCTGTCTATGCACCACCGCATCGTATGGCTGGCAAAGGGGCTGTAGTGCAAACACGGAAACATCTATGCCATCTTATTGGTCAGATGGGTGCTGATGTATTGAGGTTCGAGTCTTGTATTTCTAAATAGGACTTGATTGCATTTACTCTCATAAGGGTGTTAGGTTTTCCTCTCTGTTTAAAGCAATTACAATAAGATAATGATTGTAAAGCTTCGGTTATTTATCCATGGCTACTAACAAAGGTTAGAAGGTTTATACTCCAACTTCTTACTGTCTAATTATTCGTCAATCTTAAGGCAACCTGGCGTTTTCTTGGAAATCAGTCCATTTTTCAGCTTTGTAAATTGCAGCGTCACATTGAAAAGAGTGTAAAGACTTCAAATTCCCACAAAGATATGCATCGCTGTGTAATAAAATACGCATTTTATACCTGTGCAACCAATCTGATCCTACTTAATTTATTATCAGTAACCCAATGAGGACAACCACATTCTGGCTACTGCTCTTCTAGCATAGTTACATGAATCCATTTATTTTGTTCTGTTTCATTCGAGGTTTACATCGGCAATTTGTTCAACTCCATATTCGGTACCGTAGGCAACTGAGACTACCCTGAAACTTCCTTTGAGCGGAATGCCCTCTAGCTATGTCAGTGTATGAATGCTATATTTCAGTACAGATAGCTCTGTAGACTTGATGCCTATGGCGTCGGGAAACGCAAGCGTATTTAGCCGTGATACCTAAAAAGGGCGATCATTACTTTAAATTCGGATGTACATAATCACAGTTAAATAAAGTGAGTGAATCTACTTTTTGGTGCGGAAATATTCTTCACTTCTACTTGACTGACGGCAGGGAATTGACTCTTGATTAATCAAGGGAATGATCGACCCACCTTATTTCTTGTTCATCTTATGGATCTTAGAGGGTTATAACGGGCAAAAAGTCCTCCAGTTGATGACTAACAAATCAGTTTTTAGAATGTGCGCAATAGGCTCCGTATTCCGCTTTCTCACCTACAGCCTACGCATCTTTGGAACTAGGTAACGAGTGAGACAAAATGCACTTAGCAGAATAGAGGTAAATGAAAAGGCACAGACGCTATCCTTTTAAGCTCGTTTTGGGAAACGAAGTCTTTTTGGCGGAACCCCATGACGTTCATATCAATGCACAGACTATAAAATAATGGTAAATGCAATTGATTTCCAAACAAATCTTATACTAATCCGGGGGTTTTGGCACTTTTGAAACAGCACTTTTTCTTATTTCAGCTGGCCTTTGCCTGCCTAGAATGTAGACATTTAAATGGGAAGAAGATAGAGCGTGAATATTTTTTCCGCATTTAATGCACCATTCTGTTGATTAGACGAACACCGAGTTCGAGAGTCTCCTAAATTATGTCTTGTTAAGGGATACTATTCATTATTATTATTTATTATTTTAACTAAGACCCTAGGTGGACAGGTGCTTCAGTTTGTCATGGATCCACTTTCTCAACTTTGGCGTTCGGCTCTAGTGTTATTCTTACAGGGTGTTAAGGTGTCTCCAGGATCCAATTAGATGCGCTAGATGCAGTAACTAAGGCAAATGGACAAGGAAAATTGCGTGATTGAAACCATTACTCGAGTCACCTGCAAGAAGTGCAGGGAAGTCTTTAAAGCATCTAGTCGTCAGCCCCATTTTCGAGACAATTAGATTGTTATTTAGTCTCCTCTGCATCATTTTAGGTCTCAAAAATATGCGATCGATTGCTTCCCTTATGTTTTTGTCAAATAAAACGTGGTAAGTGACCTTCCAACCGTTTGACAGGTGCAGCCTATCCAGCCTTTTATGGGTTTGACTTAGTTCCAACCTAAGACCCACCCATCCTGACATTTGTTTATTGGGTGGGCACTCTAAACACATCTCCACGGGGGCTAATGACGCGAAATTTCGGCGTGCATTCGATTGTTTGATGTAGAACTACAGTGAAATTTTGGTGACAGTGGCAGGATGATATTAGTTGATGTTTTCGTGGAGAAGTCAATCAAATTATAATTTCATAAGGATGACAGGATAGCTGGGGTGAAAAGGGCTGCATTATTACATCACAGCGACGTAAAAGTGATGCCATTTTTGACCATCCTTCATACTTTAGTTTAAGCATTGCAAGATTGATTCTCACAAAGCAGCATGACAGATACGGCTTGACTTTGTCAAAATTATGACAGCTAAGTACATCTTATCCGATCACTTGAGTGTCAGTTACTGAAAAAGGTGCTGTGTTCTCGGTCTGAGAGCAAACGTGGTCTTTATAGCGTTTGAGCAAAATAGCATTAAATAGATCGGGTTCCTCATGATTCGTGCTGATCTAATCTTTTGCAGACTTTGCTATTGAAACCATTAAGTGATACAGTTCACTTCTATGATCAAGGCAAAGCAAACCGTCAAATTGCACTTACAACGCCTAAGTTACCGCAGTTGTGGCCTTATGTTTCTCAAGCATTGGTGCCTACTAGGAATTGTACCATATTACTAGACTTACAGATTCAGAGCAATGCAATTGAGTGAGTTTACCGGTGTCCAGATGCCATAAATTGTGGGGCCGCCTTATTTCAGTCCCTCAAAATCTGTTTATAGTGACTTTAAATGGCAGTTCCACCGGATAGACGACTATGTGAAAGTGATCTACAGACCACCAAGAGTTACACTGTTTACAAATCTTGACGAATTACAATAGGTATCAATGCGATAAACATGGAGACACAACTTTCTTTATAGGCAAAATTACCACTCCTCGTTTGTCGTGTGAAAGGACACTGTTTCGCAAACTAAGAATTTTGTGTTATAACCTGTAAGTCATGGATCCGTTTTAAATGATGCATAATACCATAATTTTGCCAAAACAAAACAACTTACACTCCCCAGTTTGCGTAAAACCTCGTTTAGTTTTATCCACCTCCTTACATTAGAGCTAATTACCAACACTGGATCAAGTAAGGGAGTAGACTTGCGTCAAGCTGCATTGTCAACAAGATGATGAATACCTCTCGCCATATGGAAACGACTGAGTCTTGAATATGACAAATCTGAACAGTTTTCACATTTTACGTGAGCAATAGCTGTGTCGCTCTCAACGGCAGAAGAAAGCTTTGAAGCTGGTCAGTGCCAACAGCTGGTCTCACAAATAGCTACCGAGATGAGGTGTTTTGGAAGTCTTTGCATGATTAAACGTTCCTCTCTATCAAAATTGTAGACCACTGCGGCAAGTACTTAGGTTGGCAGGTGCCCGATGTGTATGAAAATAATATTGAAATCACTCAACTACTGAAAAAGCCTAGTAGGATAGGGCAACCTTGATAAGTAGTTACTGGCAGGAGCCTAAAGCACTAAATACCGGAACATAGCTTTATCATTAATTAAAAGACAAAAACACATATATAGACCATCAGAGAAAATCAACGCCAGCAGAAAGCGAATAATGACTACTAGGCCCCTTCCTGGCTTCTAAAAGAATAACTTCATCCGACAGCGTTAACCATACCCTAACATAATCCATTTGTGCGATCACCAACTCAATTCGCTTTTAGTTCCACTAAAGCCACCTCAGCTGCTTTGGAACTAGAGATTTTATTACACTGTGCAGTATTATCGAAGACGTATTGTTTCTAGTCAGTGGTGATGGCCACAAAAGACCGAAATAGAATCCATAAAAGTGAAGACAAAGCAATCCAATCATGAATAGATTGCCAAGTGCTTAAGCAAATCAAAAGGCTCATCGTGACCGACGCACTCCATAAATTGATTGTGCAACATTACTTTTTCGAATGCACCCAAAAAGAATACAAGTCAATCACTTTTAGTAAAGGCATAAATCATGTATCATGCCAACAAGTTTTCCAATGGCAAGAGCATTAAGTTGAGGAGATTTTACGATGTTTGTTTGATTGCCAATATTGACAGGGAGAAATTAAGCAGCAAATTAACTCTGCAGAGTGGGCTGGCCACCGAGCCATGCTCAATGCCTCACCTTTTTAAGTTTTTGTCAAAATAACTGCAGTTAGCCAAGTGTTATTATAATGTATTGTATATTTGACTACTTCAATGAATGACTATCGATTTGACGGTAATCTTACTTCCTCTACGTGAGTTGGTCTTCAGACCGGGACATAACCTCAATTCTATCCTTTCTTCCAGAATACAGGGGTTCATCCAAGCAATTTGTCTTTTATTACAAAGTGAGAAGCATTGAAATTTACAGCTATACCTTCAAACGTTAAGTAGGAAGTCACTGGATGCTACAATCATTTTACGATTTCACAATGCTTTTGATGTAGAAGAATAGAATTAGCCAATTTTACGCATACAGTTCACGTCAAAAATGAAATTTAAATGAAATGTCTGTATACCTTGCTTATTTGACTACCTACACGACTGACATTTACTTTGGTAGTCATCGCGCTATTGTATGGCCTTCAGACTAAGCCAAAGCTTAATTTCTCCCCCACTTTACTTGTATACATGCATTCAGCCCTGCCAAATACCTTTTTCGACAAAATAGAAAGTATCGGAACAATACAGCAATGCCTTAATCACTTTTTTATCCAACTGTGTGAGGCCACTGTAGAGTGCCGAGACATTAAATGGAAATGAAGAAATGTTGTTGCGATGACTGGGGAGAGATCACACTTTGACTTTGTAATGCTTTGTTTATGCGACTACCTGACGTTTGGCGGTCATTTTAGAATTTGTGTGACCCCTGTGCACGTGGGCTGGCCTTCGGGCCACGCTCAGGCCCCATTTCTCCTGGTGTTTTCGGAATACATGTATTCAACTTCACTTATGCCTTCTACAACTTTATAAGAAGCCCCGGGACGCTACAGATTTGGCCCACAGATCAGCCAAAGCATACAAGAGCT